TTCACCCCCTCCATCTGCAGGATGTTTCCCAGTTTCTTCCATAACCTTAAAATATTGAGCAAGTTGTGGATCATTACTCTTCCATTTCCTTAAGTTAAATCCTGCCTCTAACATTCTTTTCTTTGCCTTATTGTAGAGTTCTTTACCACTTTCTACATCATAACATCCTAACACTAGGTCATCTACATAGAAACTTCTAGACAATTTTGCTGAGAACTCTGGATCAGCTGTTTCATAAGTGCTTAAATGATGTCTTACAACAGCATTCAACAAAAAAGGAGAACTATTTACTCCGAAAACAACACGATTAAAGCGGTAAACTTTAATGCTTGGTTCACTATCACAAGAACTATCAATCCATAAGAACCTCAAGCAATCTCTATCCTTTTTATCCACTTCAATATTCAAAAATGCCTTTTCGATATCAGATGTTATTGCAATCTTATTTTCTCTGAATCTTATCATGATATCAAACAAAAGTGGATTTAATGGTGGTCCAACATGTAAACACTCATTTAGAGAGGTACCTGACTTCCTATCTTTTGCAGAGGCATCATATACTATTCTTACCTTTGTTGTTTCTGCATCATTTCGTACAACGGCATGGTGTGGCAGATAACTAAGCTTCTCACTTGGCTCAAGACTTACAACCTCTTCAATGATTCTATCCCTTTCTTGTTGCTTTATAATCCCATCATAGGTTTCCATTATTGCAGGCTTCTCCTTGAGCTTTTTCAACTGCCCCTTCAATCTGTTGAGACTAAGAGTATAATTAGTAGAAAGGGGCTTGTGCCCCATTTTCCAAGGCAAACAAACTGAGTATCTATCTCCTTTAAACTCTATATTATCCAAAAATTTTTCATGCACCTTATCTTGCCTTTTAATTCCTAAAGTCTCAAGATCCCACAGTTTTTTAATGTCTTGTTCTAATTCCTGTTCCTTATTCTGGTACATCAAATTAACTGTTATACCATTACCATTTACAACCAAATTTGAAGAACAAGATTCTGCCAAATCAGTTAACTTACCCTTTATTGGCCCTGACACAACCCATCCAATCTTAGTATGAATGGCAACAGGCTCTCCTGGCTCCCCTCGTATTATACGACCATCTTGAAGCGTCCAAAGCCAATCGCTTCCAACTAAAATGTCTATAATAAGGGAATCTTCGTGCCTACAAACATCTGAAAACCACAAGTTAGTAAGATGCTTATAATCATACTTCAATATTTCAACATGTTCATTGCGTATTTCTGAAACTTCATTAACAACAAAGGCCTGTATTTTCACTTTCCCTCCACTTTCAACTCCTTTCAACTCTAACTCGACCACATCTCTTATCTTCTCGTCCATATTTTGAGATCCGAATGTCTTTATACCTAAGCGCACTTGCTTAATGGGGTTCAAACCAAGTTTTTCTACCATACTTCGTGTTACAAAACTCCTCTGACTACCTGAGTCAAAAAGAACACGTGCCTTAACATCCCTTAGGTTACCTGTAACTATGGCCTTGGCGGTTTGCAAGACTGCTCTCCCCCCAGAATCTATATTACTTACACAAGAAGTGGTAACAGTAGTATCAGCAGTCTTGACACGAGCTTGGTTAGCACTAGGCTGACTACCAACAACATTACAAATTGCAACATGGTGTCGTTTGTTACACAACTTACATTTTTCCTTCGAATGACACTGGTAAGCTCTGTGTCCCTTTTTTAAACACAAAAGACAACGTCCATATTTAAAAACAAGATCCTTCCTTTCTTCCTTGTTCCTGACGTTGTGACAATCGGCTTCTTCGTGATCTTCTTTACAAAATACACAGAACTTTCTTCTCGCAAATCCACCATCTTGTTTCGTAAACAACGCACTCATTGTTGTTGTTCGACCAGGAAACCTCGGTTTCATCTCACTTCGCCGTTCTGGTGACGTCCTACCAGAAACGGTTCCATTTCCCAAAGCCATTGAAATCGAAACATGCTGTTCACGAATCTCCAATTCTTCTCGAAAAGCCACAAGCATTTCTTCCATATCCCATTCTTGGTGATTCTTACTTCCTCGAATCATGTTCAGGCGAACAGCCTCTGGAACCTTGTCCATTAAAACAGGTACAACTATGTTCGAGTATGATGTTTCGTCGACCCCTAGGGCTTTCAATCCACGATGGTGTGTCTCAATAGTATCATAAAGTTCTCGCATCTTCTTAACATGCTTTTCATTAAAAACCGCATCTAAATTCAGAAGCTCGTTGATATGTGCCCTTTTTATCGTCGTTGGTCGCGCGAATCTCTGTTCAAGCAAATCGACAGCTATAACATAATTGTTTTCAGTCAAAGCAAGTCCAGCAATTACTTTTTTGGCAGGTTCTTCCAAATAGTGCTTCAAATACGAAAACTTGTCAATCTTTGAAATCTCTTCGTTTTCGTAAACCGCACTTTTATAACTATCCCAGAACTCCTGCCAATCTTGGGGGCGGCCACTAAATTTTTTCAGTTCCAACTTCGGTAGCTTCGCACGAACTTTACGAGTTGCTGACGACGCTGAACTTTCTACAGAATAAACTGATTCTTCTGAGCCATGTCTTGTTAAATTAGGCTTCCGCGATTCCAACTGCTTCTCATTCTTCACTAAACTCTTCAACTTGAGCAGCGCTAGATTTATTTTTTCCTTCATCTCTCCAGCCTCAGAAATTTCTTGTAAGCATCCCAAACCATCTTCATCAATTTCGCTTACAAGATCCAAAATTTCGTCATCCAATTTTCCTAAGACTTCAAGTTTCTCATCTAGCTGTATTTCAAGCTGCTTCAACTTCAATTGATCTTCCAGACTATCTTCAATCTGTCTGATCAACTGCGTTGCAAAAGCTCTATGTCCTCCTCTGATGTTTCTCTTCTTCTTCAGTTCATCCATAGTTCATTCACTGAAACACAAATACATCTAGGTTCGGTGGACCAGATTTTTAGACCTCTCAGGATCTATCTTGCTGATTCTTTTTAAACTTTGTATTCCAGAGAAAACACTGAAGAAAAAGTCATTTGAGCTTTTCACATTTCATATCATTCAGCAAATCACAGCTGGGTTCGCACAACCACCCCCAGTTGCACGCACGCAATAACAAAATCTCAATGTTCTATATATATACTGTAAACTAATTAATCCAAAATAAACTACCAATGACGATGCTCTATTCAATTTACGTCAGTTGGCTCAAACGAAAGTGTAATTATTATAATCGAAGCAATTAGAAAATATGGTAAACAGAAAAGCTGCGTCACCAAGTCACAAGATACATTTTAAGGCTTAATTACACTAAACCAAAACCTTAATCGACTACGCAATGAAAAATTACGTGAAAACCCGAACACAGGGTAAATAGCAAAACTATTTTCCTACACATACAGCAGACAGGGCCGTTGCTAGCTATTGGGCACAAGGGAAATTTTCAGGTCCAAATTGTCGACATACTGGGTGATGCATCCTTTATTTGCCGACAGACATCCTTTATTCATTTACTTGCCTTTGACACACCACTAAATGGCAAAAGACTCAAACCCACCCCCTTTCCGTAGAAATTTTTTAAGAAAAAATTCACAGTTTTGAGAAAATGCTCAAAATCTGTAAGGGAAATTCTAAATTTCAATGCCGTAAGGAAACGTAGGCAATTAAATTTTAGTAATATTTACCCTCCAAATTCTGATTGACAGCTAGAAGACCGGAAGGTAATTTTGAAAAGCGGATGTATTGGAAGTTCTGAAATAATTGGGGTAAATAGAATCATAAATATGGACAACTATACCGGTCATGTGCTTGCGTTTTTCTAAATTGCCCATTCCGACCCACAACTGGGTATATGTTTTCATTTTGTGCTCTCGGACCCTTATTCTGACGTTTTACACTCTGAAAAGTGTCAGACGAAAAAGCTTTAAGCATGCTGTAAAAGCTTGCTTCTTTAATGCAATTTAGAGCTACAAATAAGCAAAAATACGGACATGATTGCTGCTGCTTGATAAAAAATATTTATTGTGAAAAAACACACGCTTTAGCTCTACCTGAATACCTACTGCATATTTTTGCTTCAAAGTCTTCTGTTAATCTTCCAATGTACTATAATCGTCAAAGCAAATAAAACCAAAATTTGATGTTTAAAACAAAAAAGAGATTCAAATTCTGTAAATAAAATTTTGCTTCGAAATTGCCATGGCTAGTTTGTAATATTGTAGTTCGACATTACCTTGAAGGTATTTTCAAAGTTACTTTTTGTGAGTTTTTCTTTTATGAATAATCGCTATTTTGGCAAACAGGATTTTCGAGATTAACAGAAATGGTGAAAATTGAGTAGCTCTGATGGCAAAAAAGGCTTTTTGAAATTACTGCTGTGAAATTGATGCAATGAAAGCCAACTTTCTCGTCAAAACTGAAGATATTGTCAGATAAAGAAATTGCGGCATTAAAAAGCAAAAACATTCTAGCGGTTTTTTGCCCAATGGCTTTATTTAATTAGTTCTTAAAAACAAATGAAAAGTCTTTTGAGCGTAATGTTTAAAACTGAGCGACAGTTCTTCGCTGTAGTCACTCAATTGGTTGAGAACCCAAAATCTTAAGATTGATGTTTGTTTATGCTTTTTGGTGCCAATTCATTTAGGCCCAAGTCAAAGCAAATTAAGCCAAGATTTGATGTTTAAAACAAGAAGAGATTCACATGCTTTGAATAAAATCTTTATGTAAATATCGCTTTCAGAGCCCAAGCAGCCCATATGGCGTACTCGCCAAGGACGGCAAGCGCAAGTTCACATTTCCACAGCCTGGAGATGGCATTCATTCATACGCACTTAGCAATTTACACAACATGAGCCAGTCAGCGGACATACTGGCCGTTAGGGACGAAAAAGACGGCTCAAGGTTGTCTTTGCAATGGCCAGAACGACATCAAAGGTCGCCGAAGAAAGGGGAGAGCTGCAAACGGAAGAAGTCGCTATTAGAACGACTTGGGGTAAGCGTTTTTATACCTTTAATTGCAGCATAAGTTAATAAACATTCCGTCTGCAAAAAATTAGCGATAGATATTTTTGCAATGGAGTAGAGAAGTGTATTGGCGGTTTGTCAGAAAATATCCAACATTGCTGATTTTGAATTTTTTTTAAAAGGGTTGCCAAAAAGAACCGCAACAAGCACATTCTTTTTAAAAAGTTCCCGACCGGTATTTGATTTTCCGGAAAAAGACAATCTGCAAACCATTTTCCTGAAAATTCATCTACATCAACGCCACGATCTATATTCTTAGACAATGCTTCTTTATTTTGATAATTCTTAGCAATTATTAGATTCAACATGCAACGTTTTGCAAGCTTGTTCAGTTGTAATTAAAATGCAAAACCTACATACTGACGATTATTATGTAAGAATTAATATAGAATTTACAGTAACTGACGGATTAGAAAGTGGAATGAATGAGTGAAGCTGCAAATAGCAAGACCTGAGTAGGGTTGACAAATATACCAAAGGTCCAATGCTTAGCTAGTCATTGCCAACTTTTCACTACCATTCAAACTGAATGTTCTCTTTATTAGAGCACAATTTTTTGCTAAGACATAGTTACGATCGTTGCAGCAATAAGCTCCTCGAAAACAATGGCATTACAATTGGTGTTAACGTATCTACCACATTGCAAAGCATTTTCTAGATTGTATTAAAGTAATGCCATTTCTTAAAACCTTGCTGCTTTGAAAATGTACTATTTTAGCTCCCAAATTTGAATCTTCGGCACAGTCTCCAAAAAGTGCTGTTAAAATGTGGAGTGTGTCAAAATGCTTTCTCTAGCATACAAACCTAATCTTGATGAAGTTTCCTGTTTTACCTGTCTGTCATAATGTTTTCAATGCCGTACAGAAAGAGCTGTGCACGCTTTTTATATACAGAACATGATGGCTCTAAGTTGTAAATTAAGTACTAACTTCGCTTTTCGGGCCTGATGTGATCTCCAGAGAACTAGCGAAAACCGAGTTTGAATGAAAGGCTCAGCGCCTCTTAAATTGAAACGTATTTGGTGGATTACATTGGAAGTAAGACTTAGAATGAATTGTTGCATCGTTATACCTCAAGCCGTGGTGATTAGAATAAACGTTTGCAAGCTGTAAATATGAACATGGCTTTGTTTAGCAACGGATAGGGCTAGCTCTCTTGGTCTCATTCATGGTCGAGGCGAGACCCTGAAAGGAAGGGTTACGCTATGACCAACAATAAAATAAACAGAATGTTAAGAAAGAGATAAAACCAAGCATTGAGTGGACATCCTACAACAAAGGGGATTCTGTTCATTTCCAGTGAAAATCATTTATTAATGGGTTGATATCGGATAAGGAGAAATTGAGAGAAAAAAGTACCTGTAACAGGTTGTCAAATACAGAATGCAAATATCATCTTCTTGCTTTTTGGATTAAGCGGTCTATGCCATAGGGGGTTTGCTAAGAAAGATAGAGAAATCAAATCTAACACAGGCTTGAAATCAATGGACAAATTGGCAGGGCACCAATTATTTAAATATCTATTAAAAGTAGGCTCAAAGTAGCTAAATTGCATATCTAGTGTCATTTTGCGAAGTAAGTGGGAATATATTAATTACCCCTATAAGGTCTTTGACAATCAAAAGTTAAATAAATAGACTAAAAATATAAAAATCGTTTCTAGAAAGTAATTGTTTATACGCAAAATAAAAACTGCGCTAAATTAAGGCAAATTTTTGCGTGCGCTCATTCCAAACTACGATAGATAGAAAAGGAGAAAATTTTACAATAGGTTGATCCTTAGTGAATTTGCGTAATGTGAATGAATTAGTGAAGTTACAGTTCGGCAGATCGCATTTTATGCATCATGCCAGAATCTACTTAGTCTATGTTCATTCTTGAGTCAATGTTCTTCATACACTTTTCTTTCACGGATGTAACAGGCTCTAGATTGGTGTTTCTAAATGTCATTAAGCGCAATTATAGAACAATCTACTAAGGCTTACGTACTGTTAGGATCAACTGTATGGGTTTATACTGTGATGTCGAAACCCCCGTTATCAGATCTCTATATCAATTTGTTTTGGCAGGTTCAACTTTGTTATCTTTGAAATTGAATAGTGTGTATTTGATGATTTTAAAATAACAAGCCTCAGAATGATATTCGACGCTACAGTAAACTACTTGATTTTTTCATTTTGAAGAGCTTTTGCGAAAAACCATAATTTCGATTATTAAAAACATTCTCAATGGGTAAGTGAGTTTTGTAGCACTTAAACACCTAAGACTTGTCAGTGTAGTAAACAGTATTGGTCCAGATTTCATAAAACAAAGTGTCTTTCTCTTCATAGATATAAACAACAAGGGTCTCAAAATATCGAAGTCAGTCGATTACGCGAGTTAGAATATTAATGGATATGTTTTCATATTGCCAACTTGAAATGAATAAACAGTAACTTGAAGCAATTGATAGAAAATAACTTCAATATTGGCAAAACTTTTGTAACTTTGATATCGGTTTTTATTAGATATTTCAAGCTGATAAATGCTTTCGCATTAGCATTTGCCAACTCGATAAACTGCCACACAGGAATGATAGAAGCCTAATCACGGTCACAGTAATTCACATTATTTCAGATTGTATCAATGTCTATCAGCGTGCCTAAGTATCAAATTGACAGATGTCATGTATCGTTGAGACTCTTGTCATTTTGAGTTGATATATTAGCACTTATGATTTTGTTATTCAGTGAAATTTGCTTTGCTATCAAAGTTTTTAGAAAGCAAAGAAAGAAGCTAATGAAGTTTGTTGAGGGGAGGGTGAAGTTTAGTAGGGTTTTTGGTGCAGATCCCCAGATTTGACAAGAAAAGGCGTTCCTGAGATACGCGGTAATGCAACGTGGCCAAATGGCTTTGAAAAATTTGAGAATACACAAGCATTTTAATAGGCAGGAATGGAGTGCACCATAGCAATGAATTTGATTATTGATGTAAACATATCTTTGAAGTTTAAAGCTTTAGGGAAATATAAAGTAAAGTTGGAATCTAGACGGTTCTTGCAGGAGGTGACAAACTCAAAGTTATTGAACAGTGTGGCACCCTTTCACCTAACCTATAACCAATGCCTGCAACAAGGACATCCATTTTATGTTGGTCGGACTCTGCTTCGAAGTTCGGCATGTCTTTGTTGTTGTTGCTTAAAAATCTTATTTCGCCGAAAACATGGTTGGTGTTCTTTGAAATAGATATCTTAAGCTTTTTGAAGCCCAGGATCGTGCGACCTATGCAATTTTTAATGGCTGGTGGAAATAATGTGACCGGAATAGGCAAAGACGATCATAGAATGTCGATAATCTCTAAATCTGCTCTTGTTCTCATCAAGAACAATGAAATTTCTTTTTCAATATCGTCAGCTGTAGCCCCGAGAAAATCAATTTTTAATTTAATGTGCTGTTTGGTTGTTTTGCTGATCATCATTCCCACTTGATCACTATAAATTCAAAAATCTTAGCAAAAAATCGTGAGTTTGTTCCTTTTGCTTCATGCCATCTTCTACATAGAGACTATTAAGAAAAAAGTTTAGATTTTCGTTGAGAGAGGGAATTCGCTAAAAACAGAGCTGATTAACCTAAATACTGATTAACCGTCAGAATCAAAACTTACAAAAATTTAATTCGAATCCTTATTCGTCAATAAGACAAGAAAACTGTAATATTTTGCAGCTAATTGGTTATACCGAGAAATCAGACTAAACTAATCTTCGCAAATTTTTGTTGGAATGAACAATAAAAATACAATGACTGCTTTCAAAAATAAAACTTCAGGGTAATCTCAATTAGCTGTACTTTGGGAAGAAGAAAACGAGCTATGATCTTAGCCTTTTTGAATCCATGCAGCCAAACTTGTTTTACCAAATGACATAGCCCCATGAAGTATACATCAAAGATTAATGCAACACAGTTTGAATGGCTAAAATTCAACAAAACTGGCAACAAAATCTGAAATGTTGCACATCGTTGATAACACTTAAAAACGAGATGTCCTCTGAAGAAGGAAATATAACACTTCGTTTATAACACTGATAAAAACTAAACAAACTTTTATGGTTTTTGAAAGTTCCCAATGTAGCTAAGTCCAAGCATATGTTTTCTTTTCAACTGCATTTTTGCTTTACAAATCCGTTCGTTTCTTGCTATTTCAGCAGAAAATATGCATTGTACGGGATCTCAAGATACGAGATGAGATACGGGATGACCTCTGGTGACCCAACGCTGCTCAAGTCAGATTTGAACCATTTTTTAGCGCTGATAAGATCAATTAACCTGCGTGTAAATAATGAAATCGACCCGACTTCATTTTTAAGGGATTTCATCTTTTCAATTATCAGCATGGAAGAAGTCTTTCGTCTTTTTACATAAAAAACTGTAATTGCCAAAATGCTAAATCTATTACACTCTAGCATTATCTACTTTGCAAAGGAGATCTCGTTTTTTAAGTAAACAGCAATATTCTTATACTTTTAATTCTGTCTCTTATTGTTTTCAGCCTCTTTTCTAATCTCCTCTTTTCATCTTTAATTGGAAAACCAGTGTGAGTCCATCCCATAGCGACCTGCCAACGACTTTTAAGATAACACTTTCACTTTGATCGCCTAGTCAGCCTGATAATCTTCCGCAAAGGAGCATAAGAACGATTTCCATTTTTCAAAATGTTTGCCTCTATAAAGCTGAGAATGATGAAGGAGTTCAGCTGGCCTTCGGATTCCGTAGAGGTAAAGTAATTTCGTCTTTTTTAAAATTGATAAATAGCTGATGTCGGAAATACTTTGAAAAAACTGCTCTTCGAAACAGCTTCTTGATCTAGACAGATATCGTGATTCCCTCCTGTCGACAAACTTGATAAAATGATTCTTTCAATAAAGTCAGTATTTAGGATTTTGTCGATCGTAAAGTGCAAACATCTCGTGCCTCTAGCGATGCTTTCGCACTTATCCTTTTTCTGACATCAAGACAATATTTGTATGTTTATAAGGATTACTGTTTGCCCGTCTGTTATACAGTCTCATTGCCTTAGAGCAGTACAAGCTTGCGGATAAGTTTCTGATGCAGCAGAAAAGGAGTTGAGATTTGCGCAAGAATAGATAAAATTTCATCACTCTTCTAAGATATCAAGACTACTTTGTAACATAGGCTTGAGTCGGAACGATATTTTACACTAGCAGCACCTATTGCGAGATCGCACGATAAGTTGATTGAGAGTTAAATACTGATGAAAGCGGAAATTGAAGCAATTTCAAAAAAGATCATTCAACTTCTTTGCTGAAATGACTTTTTTGCACAGTTTTGCTCATTTTTAGTAAAAAGCAAAAGGCGAGAAACAAAGAATCGTAAACAAGCAATAATCCATTTTACGATCTACCAAAATATCAGGCATCTTTTAATGTCAGGGAAATATGTTACTATTTCTTGTAAATTATCGTACTCAAAGCTTCCCTGCTAGGAGGAGATCAGACCATAGACTTTTCCAGATCCTATAGTTGGCAAAATTCTGTGAAACCGAATTAAAAATGTTAAGTTAAGCAAACACGAGATAAATAAAACTTGGTATTCTGCTATTGACGATGGCTACTAAGGATAGCACTTCGTTTGCAAGAGTTGTTTTGCAAACCATCTTAATTCATAGGCGAGTTGGATTCCTGATTTTTTTTGTAAACAGAAAGTTTTGTGAATCTTTTTGTAAAGAGGTATCCCAATATCAGCATGATGCAGTTGTTAATTTAGCTCAACCTTTCTATATATTCGAAAATATCTCTGCAGCATCTGAAACTAACAACGCTGCACTTACTAGGGTGCCTTACTGTCAGCGTTGTGTAAAGAACTACTCACTGCACTGTGTTACTTAATAAGGTGTCTTACATTCAGCGTTCTGTAAGGAACTACTCACTGCACTGTATTACATGCTAGGGTGCCTTACTGTCAGCGTTGTGTAAGGAACTACTCACTGCACTGTATTACATGCTAGGGTGCCTTACTGTCAGCGTTGTGTAATGAACTACTCACTGCACTGTATCACTTGCTAGCGTGCCTTACTGTCAGCGTTGTATAATGAACTACTCACTGCACTGTATCACTTGCTAGCGTGCCTTGCTGTCAGCGTTGTGTAAGGAACTACTCACTGCACTGTATTACTTGCTAGCGTGCCTTACTGTCAGCGTTGTGTAAGGTACTACTGCTGTTTGCAGTTATCATTAAACGGGGTGCAGTCATTCTTAAGAAATATTGTAATCTGCAATTTCGTGCTACGTACTATCATGTAGTATTTGAGTTTTTTCTCAATTTTCAACCTGCATTGTCTACAGCGTTGTGTCACTTGATATTTTGCTTTCTTACATAAGATATAATTTGTTACCTAGTATAAACACATTATCTTACTCCCTACGCCGAATTACGTCCTAGATTTTGTAATTAACACCTGCGTTATTCACTTTATAGTTCATATTTATTACTTGTCTCAAATGTGATCCTTTGTTGGTAAATTTGCCTTCGCCTGCAATATTGCGCCGTGTTATGACTGGTGTTGTACCTTTAAAAGATAACCTGCATATCAACATTTCGGATACAACATTACAAGGTTCTTAGCAAATTTAAAAGTTTTGAAAATAATTGCCTTTTACATATTGCAAATTTGCTGCACTTCCTGCAAAGAATATTTTGATCGCTGTTATGTTCAAAAACCTGACAGCTCTAGGGATTGGATAGGCTATTAATTTTGCCCCTTCTCCGGTGTCGGTTGCTTCAGCGTTATCATTGTTGCGTCTTCGGATTCTCATTTAAAACATGTTAGGAAGAAACGAGCGAAGTTCTTCTAATGTGTAAGGCAGCCCCCCGTCAGAGTCAAGGAGCCACGTAAAGATGATCAAGCTCCATGCGCACGCTCTTTGACTCTATGACGGGGGCTCCTTCTCTTGTATGTACAAAACAATGCCTATAAGATATCGAACGGGAAAAATAAGGAACTTTGTGTACATGTTTAAGATTTTGTAAGCGCATTCCAAACATCTTAGAAAGGATTTCAGATGGCCACTCATGCAGAAATATAAACTTATGTTTTTGAAAATGGCAAGAAGACCACTGAAACGTCAAGCTGAAATTTTAAATTTTTTATGATAAAAACAAGATTACGATCAATCTATTCCTCGGAAAAGCCTGCACAATTTTGTCACAGCTGCGGCTCTTCTTGTTTTGGTCATGATCATCAATTTTGAATGAAGATAGGAAGTTCCCAAATGTTCATCACCTTGAGATTTAGTTGCGATTTCAATCTTTAACTTGGCTTAGCTGAATGCTAAATTGTTTTTTATTAGACCCATATCAAGATCTGGCCCTGTTGTATAATCCGTTTGAATCAAATCGAAATTTTGAAAGTTTGACAACGACACTTATCTAAAATGGTGGATTTAATATATTTAGAAAAAACGAAGAAGTTAGGAGTGTTAAGCAAGCGATTAAAATTCTATCAATGTATCGAGGATTTATTGCTTGTTTAATATTTTCGTTAAAATGTTTTATAGAGTTAGATGTAGATGTGTTGTAGTAGTGTAGTTTGTGTGGTGTTGTTGTTCATTGGCTGTCCAGGCACTGATAATTCTTATCTAAACTATATGAGCCTTTGTTGAATGAAAATATAGTTATATAGCCAGGTACCGCGCACCAGTCTAAAAGTAGGGGGGGAGAGAGGCTGAGAAGGGCGTGGCCTGAACAACTTTTTAGACTGGTGCGCGGTCTCTGGCTATATATGTGAAAAACGTGAAGGTTATATTGACAGCAAGATTTCACTAAAAGAGACTAAATTCCTAACCCTTATTTCTACCTCCGAAATAAAAAGCAATTAAACACTTAAGGTTCTTTGAGCAACAATCATTGCTTCTCTGAGAGACTTCGAATGTCATTGACTGCCTTTGCATCTTATGCCGACTTTATAATCATTCATTAGAAATTTTATCATTCTAAACTTAATATACTTCTAGCCTTTAACTTTCTATAATTCACGTATCTACTTTTTATATCTAAATAAAATTACAATAATAATATTTCTAGCTTTAAATCCTTACTCTTAATCCTTACTCTTAATGCTCACGCTTAATCCTTACGCTTAAAGAGGCTGTGTCACGGTTTTGAAAACAACCAAATACACGGGACATTGTGCGTTTTTAGCCGGGATAATTGCGGATGGTGCTCCGGTGCATCGACAAGCTCGATAAATTGTATATTCTGAACGCATTAACCGAACATGGAATGGAAAATTGCTATATTTCAGCATATGTACCGACTATCGAAACGAAAAGTGTATGCTAATTTGTTTTAGGCTAAGGAAATGAAGCTTCATTCAATCATGGCGAAGATATTCCGTTTCTCTTTTGGGGAATTTAAATGGAATTATACACTTTACAAACAAAATGATTACTCCAAATTTGTCCTGCAAACTTTAATAATGCTTTTTCGCTCATAATTTACATCAGGATGGTAGGTTTTTTAGTGTCATTTCGGCCAATTTTTATAAACAACTCCCTGCGAGTTGCGGTATCCTAGCCGTAAAAGTGGCCTTTGTTTTTTGTATCGCCATCCTTTATCTACAGAAATATGGTGATAAGATTGAAGAAAGAGCCTTTATTATTCGCTTCCTTTCATAAAACATCCAAAAATGCAAAAGGTTCGCACAATGAGCAAAGATACAAAAAAACTGTTTTATTTCATAGTGGTATTCCTATTGAACGCAGGTTGTTTCAACAAAACAACTTTCGCAAACCGGCGTGTTGCCACGCGGGATGTCCCTTGTGACACGGCCCCTTTAATTCTTATGCTTAGGGCCTGTTCACATGAGGTGGGCTAGCCCACTTAAATGGGCTGGTTTCCTCGAATGGGGTCCGTGCTTTCTATAAATTCCTTTGTTCTCTGTATTTGCCAGAGTGGGCCAGCCCGCTTAGATGAGATCTGCGAGAAAGACAGGTGGGACCCGCGTCAGGTGGGAAAAAATTATCCATGTAAACGCAATAAGGTGGGCTAGCCCACTCACTGAAAGCAAATGCGCCTGCGTAGAGGAAGTTCGCGCCAAACTAAACCAAATCATTCCGTCGTATGAATCGGAAGCAACAGTTTGGGCTCTTCTGCTAAAACCGTAGTAAAAGCGTACATAAACCTAAAGAATTCAAACGTTTCCGCAATTGAAATGATCCTAACATGTCGATCGCATACTTTTGATAGATCGAACACAAAATAAGAATTCCGTATAACTGAAGTACGAATCCGAGCTACCCTGGGTACCAGACTCACTATATAAAATAATAGAGAGTCTGGTCTAGTGCGCCCTATTCTCGTTCGGGTGAACTTACTTGAAAGAACTGAAGTCTATTTAACAGACTAGGCCTGTGAAACAAGACTGTCGGATAAATAACAAAGATACTCAGTAGTCGGAGGAGTTTCGGGAAATCTTAAAGCCAATGTATTTTATATAGTTCTGTAAAGTTGACATTATTAATACAGTGATAACAGACTTTTCTGCCTCAAGATTCCAATCAAATCAGGTGTAAAACGCCTTGGCAGCAAAAGCATATGCGAAGCATGAAATTAAAGTTAGCACAATGCAGTTACTAAATGTTAATCATTGTTAAATTTCGCATACAACTTAAAATAAGACTTTTGTAATTTTCCACATAAATTAAGTGTACTTTCAGTCTACTTCCTCACTGTGAAGGCAGCGCGCTTGGACACCGCGGCGGTTAGAATCATCACGTTGGAAGTTCGCCACAGCAAATATGGCCAATATGACAAGCGAAGCCCCGTATGCCGGGGAAAATATTAGCCATAACTGATTTACTTGTGTTTGTTGTTGTTTGTTCTCGGCGCCTTGCGGTGTTTCTTATTTACTGCATTTCACTACAAGGCCTAATTTCTTTGCAATGAGAGGCACTGCCTGAAATATCAGAGACTTTCCAAAGTCAGTTGGCAACATGGCGAAGGTGTCTCTTCTCTCTACAAACAAGGCTTTCAATGTTGTTCTGTGTTAAGTTCCACAACATGCGGAAAATATTCTTTGAGTACAGTTTTAACAGCATCTTCAAACTAAATCGTTACAGTCGCTAGCATTTATTTATGTTGTGTTCTGTTCAATGTTTTACACCAGAGCTAAGTTTATTGTTTCGCTGTGACCTTTGAACGTACAGAAATCTGTACACTCGCTCCTGATTGGTTAATATAAGCACACCAGAACGAGAATGGGGCGCACTAGACCAGACTCTCTATTTTATTTCATATATAGTGAGTCTGGTACCCAGGGTAGAATCCGAGCATAACGTATAATTTAACGGTCAGAAAAGAATCCAATTGTTATTCGCCATTGTTAAGAAAAATTGATATTCAATACCGTGGGGCAAAAAAAACCTCATTTACAATTTTCAAATTAGTGGCCATCCCACCTAGTGGGATAAATCGCGCCATGTAAACTTGCGAATACGATTTCACCTGCGGAAACTATCCCACTTCAGTGGACCAGCCCACTTCACGTAAACAGGCCCTTAATCGTTATGCCTAATCCTTACGCTTATTACCTACGCTTAATCATTACACCTAATCCTTACGCTCAATCCTTACGCCTGATCCTTACGCTTAATCCTTCCGCTTAATTCTTACGCTTAATCCTTCGCCTAATCCTTATACTTGATCCTTACGCTTAATCCTAACGCCTAATCCTAACGCTTTACCCTTGCACTCAGTCCTTGTTGCTTTCATGGTGATTTTTGTTGCAACTGCAGCAACTACTTTCTTTGGTCAAGTCAATAGATTACCGAAGTGATGACATCATAAAATTCTTTTCTTAAAATGTTTTTATTTTGATCCCTGAACCTAAGAGAGCATCATGAAATACCTTTTAGTATGCAGAATCGGTTAAAGGTATCACGAATTGGCTTAGATATGGCCACATAAGGACAGGCTCTTGCCTCATCAAACCTCTGTAATTTGGTCTTGGTTCATAACTTTATGAACCAGGCCAGAATTACAATGATCCGTTAGCAAACTTGAAATCTATCATTGGCCATATCTCGCCCAGTTTGGAACATAACTAACTACTTTTGCACAATGGGAGGTATTTTATGCCATTCTTTCAGATTATGCGGCCAAATTTTAGATATTCTAAGAAAAGCTTTTGATGACGTCACACTTGGTTACTCTATTCGTTGTTATAAAAAAGCTTATCTTCAGGCAGAGAAAACAATCTTTCATTTCCAAACGCGATGTTCGGGTAGGTCGTCTTGTCGCGATAATCGCACAATGAAACGAAATTTGATTGTTTTTGCAAAAATGTAAGAAATCCAATGCAATTTGACATTCCTAAAAAACCATGTGATTGTATCAGGCCTTGTTTTAATAACTGTGAAAATTCGTATTATTCAAATTTGCAACAACGAACCATGTTGATGGTGACTAAATTGTGGGAATGTTTTTAAAATCACAAGGAATATTGACAGCAAGAACAGCATATGCCTAATTTTCCATGGCAGAAAAGCATCTGCTCAACTGCAACACTTTCAGAACATACCTGTTTTGAGAGAGGCATTTCAGGTTTAACGTGCCTAAGCAACTCTGTGTATCCTTTATAATTAAACTGGACAATATGTAAACAATCGATTGCCCTTTTTATTTTAGAGCAGTATGAGTGAGAAAAGTCTGTTGAGTCGGCGGCTAAGAAGATCGATGACAAACTGGTCCTCCGGTCAAAGCAGCAAGGACCAGTCAACGGATGGAACAATAACGTTTCCAAAAAGCAAACGATCGAAAACGAAACAGCGGTTCAGAATTGTTGCTGCCAAGACAGGCCAACCCGATGGGATTTCATTCGAGTGCATCGATAAATCTGGGTTCTTTTTAAGGGCCAAAGGAAAGTCGCTAGCACCTGAAAGAGATGGATCTGACTCGTACTTCAGTGAGTTGGCCTCGTTTTTCGTTACTTGGTTTATATTTATTTTTCTTAATTTCTCAATCGCGTTTTGAGCAATATGTTTGAGAGAATAAATTATGGTTTTAGAGTTGATGCGGGAAACAAAATTTGCCATTAATTTCTGCTTTCGTTGAAAAGATGGAAGACTTTTGGAAAAAGTGATAATTTCAATCAATGACATCAAATATTTGTAAATATGAATTCGTAAATCTACACTCTTAACAAACAGTGGTCCTTTTCTAAGCTTATATCAATATCATGAACGGAAATTATCCACACAATGATCCTGATTATAAAAACTGTCATGAAGACTTCATAGATTAAGTTTTAACATAATTGAGAATCAGAAAAGGAGCGAAGAAAACCCTGTTGAAATTCTTGCTTTATCTCTAATTAGCACGATAAAGATTCAACTTCTCATAGTGGTACAGAAATCATCGAACATCATATTTCATGAATTGCTTCGTCAATATTGCAGCGAAAAGATGAATGGACATCACATGGGTTTATTATTGTAATTTTTAGGAGGATTTTGAATGATAAATAAACGATGCAGTATATTTGAGACGCAACAAATGAAATATTGGAACACCTTTGTCTCGTCCTAACAAACAGTGCTCGCACAAGCTGCAAGAAACAGCTGTCAGAACGGTTTCGCGAGTGGTGGAAGACTTATTGATAATATCTCTGGTGAACCGAACATCTTTTTGAATCTTAAATATTTTAAAGCGTATTATTTGAGAAGCTTGCATAGGAACTTGGTATCGGAAATTTAAAAAGGTAAATTGTAATTTGTAATTAAATGAAAATTCGCCAATCGCCGCTCTGTCTAGGCGAAATCTGACGAAAAAATTATATTCATTGCAAGGTGATTGCGCTTTGTCAGTTTCAAAAATTATGAACAGATAATTAAAGAATTTCATCAACCAGACAGAATCCTTTCAATTCTTTACTTTAATCTTAGATAAAGATAGCACATTCGTTCCTTTGCCTGACATGTGGTTCCCTGGGTTCTTTGCATTTGAATCAGTTGGAAAGCCATCTTATTTCGTTCGCTTGAATCAGACGGAAGAGTTGATCCTGGACCGCTACGATGGAACAACGACTTTCAAAGAAGATGCTAGTTTCATGTTAAAGAAAAGACCATGTGCAAGTGGGTTGTTTTGCATTTGGCAGTGTAATGTAAATAGAGGATTGAATGACTTTTGATTTATCGCGCAATATAGAATTTGACAATTAAATGTAGAAATGTTTTGAAGTATCAGTTACAATGTTTGCTTAAGTAACGATTTGCTAACATCAAATGTTGGATGCGCTGATATGCCAAAATTAAATTTATAAAGTCTATGCTTAAAAAATAGACTTTGTACGTATATAAATGACCTGAAGCTAGAAGAATGGATGTATCGTTAAATTTGATAGCTGGAGAGCTGATTTTAAAGTATTTCTATCCCTGAGCAAAGACCTTGAAAAGGTTATATTAAAAATAACTTCAGCTACCTTGGTTGGCAGAATCAACCACTAGATTTAAAGTTTGATGGAATTGTGATACTTGCACGTCAGATGCTTGGCGAAATCATGATTGAATCTTAATAATGTATCCTGTCAATCATTTGTATGCCTCTGAGGATTCAGCAAAGTCCCAAGTGTACTTTTTTATAACTTTCTAACGTGCTTACGTCTGTTTTTTTATCTCAGTGGATATGAATTGTTAATATCCAGTTATACTTTTTCAGCATGTTTGCAAGTTGGCGTGAAAGGATGGGCAAAAATGCCAGCTGGAGGATACTGCCTTGGCAAAGTAATCGCTGTCACTGACGTAATCGAAGTGCTAGTTGACGAAGGCAAGGTGATGAAGTATGAGCGGGAATCGCAAGGGTGTCTAATTCCAGACGTGGTGCCGCAAGCGAGCGAACTTTCAGTCGGCGCACGAGTAATCTCACAATGGTACGATAGAGAGTCTCTTTATCCCGGGATTATCACTGGGATAAGATCGAATGAATACGAGGTGCAATTCGACGATGGTGACAAGGGTCGCTGCCGGTCTTACCAAATTAGGCTGGTTAGGGATCATCTTTTTCAAGGTAAATTTATGTGGACAATCCTTCAAACATAATATTAGATTAAGAAATTACGGATCTAGAAATACGAGAAATTTCTAAATGTAAAGGTAGCTGTACTCAGTTATTGTGAAAAGCAAGTCAAGTTCATATTGTAACTATATTTTATAAGGAAAGGAATATTTTATATTGTAACAGTACCGAAAAATTACCTCATTTAAGCATCAAGAAATTACCTCATACCAGGATGGTTGCAACGCTACCATCTCTGGTATAGAAATATTGTCTTGATGATGTTGAAACGTTGAACAATATATAATGCAGCCCGTTAAGTGTATGTAAATTGTTTAAATATTATCAAAAAGAGGACCTAAGAGGTCGTAGACTGTGTTCTACGATACCTTGGATACTCGATGAAGTAAAATTATTTTTAGAACAATTGGTTACAACAACTTTTCGATTTCAGAACATTCCTGCTCTGAATCATCTCACAAACACGCCACAAAACAAAACTCGGACGATTCAAGCATTGAAGGTGCCGAAAAAGCAGAGGATCGCCTATTATCTTCAATCAAACGACAACAATTTTCAGGTAGGGAGCTCGAGCTGTTTGCATAAAAAAGAAGTGCTTTTGTCTATCAGTTTTCTGTTTGATTTCAGCAAATTAAGGCCCTGTTGAAACGACGAATTCATGTGCCAATTCAATTGCGTAGGAATCAGGAACGACCTTGAAGCGACTTTTATTTCAGACGTTGAACCAAATGTGTCGAGCTTAAAAACTTCGAGTCGTTTACATGAAGTAACTTCAAAGCGCAGTGCAAACCATACACATTTCCTAAATTTTTAATTTTATTTGTGTTTTAATTCCGTTGTTTTTAATCTTAATTTAATTTTTAACGGGTTAATTTTCTAAGATGGCTGCGTACAACTCGAAATTCTTGTTGATTAAATGTATGTTTGCGGAAAGTCTAGAAAGACATTGAGTCGTCAAATACATATTTAGAATGGCTAACAAACAACAAACATTGAAAATTTCGCTACAGCTGAGTCCATTTGCTTTTGTACCGTATTTGACGCGGTGTTTGTTTTGCCCTCTTCTTTCGCGCGTTTTCCTAAAAATAATTGTACCGTGGCGTTTTAGGAAGAGAAATAAATTATGCATTTAGCTCGGCACACGATTAGCCTGCGCTCCAGTCCACAAATGCTGCTACATTCATAGACTGTGCAATGTTGACAAATATGCAGCCAAGCAGAGGGCTGGGTCTAGTTTATGAAATTAATTTATGCAATGAAACCATTGAAATCTTGAATATGAATCCTTGAAGAAATTTGTACTGAAACAAAACAGGACGAATATGCATAAATAAAATGGTGTGCATGACGAGTGTAACATCTTGCAAGGTCAGAACCGTTGACAATCTCAGCTAATTGCATAATTTTGGAGGGTTGCATACATTACCACCAGATTCAGGTGGAAACTGCGGACAGGACATTCATTAATATTGCGCATTCAATAAATATGGCAGCATTTGTGGTCTGGGGCACGGGCTACACATGACAGGCTCGACGTTTAAAACGAAGTCGAACTCCAATCGTCGAATTCGGCAAGGCTTGCCGTGTCAAACTGCTCTTGCCGTACTTAATTGATAAAATCTGCCGTGCTTAATTGATACAAACGTTGCGCTTTCATATACTTGATAAGTTCATTCACTTCGGCGCATGAGAAGTTCGATTAATTTTTTTATGCGCGATAAACCGTTTCTTTTGTTTTCGATCAACACCTAGTGCAAGTAATTTTGTTGTTGATACTATGGTCAAAATAATTAATTAAAATTAATATCCATCTCTTCCATGTGACACTTATAAAAGAACTCTATTTATGGCTACTAGAAGACTGAAAATTGCAAGAAATGTTGGTACTATAACGAGCAAATTTATACCATCAGAATAAATTTCATCTACAATAAATTGTTTTGACTTCCAACTACGTAAGAAATAAAATCAAAGGAAGACATTATGATGAAAAATCTTTATGACATAGGACAATGATAGAACTTTCTGCTGTATCTGCAATAGGGAATGAAAGAAATTCTACTTTGTTGCAGAGTCTCGGCATGGCAAACTTTGGTCACGTGAGTGCTCAGAGGCTGTCTCAAGTTCTAATAAAGAGGAGGTTTGTAAACAAGATAGTTCATCGTCAACAGACACACAGCTAACATTAAAGAGTCATAGCGAGGCATTGAAACTCAGACGAGACTTGCGAATGACTGTGCAAAATTTGAAGGTTTCCTCTTTAGAGACAGAGACAATGAGCCAGGATAGCGGTTACCATGGTTACCTGAGGCAAAAGAGTTTAGAAAAGGAATCCCAAAAACGATGTAAGTTAGTGCTTCGTGCCTTTTAAGGGCATCATTTTTCTGTAATCTTGTTTTTAAACCACATGGAAGAGTTTGAAAGAGACAACTTGAGTTGTGTTTCAGTCGAGTTTTAAAGTAACTAGAAGATACTTTCTTCTGCTTCGCTTGTCTTTGCAACTTTGAATTTATCGAGTGTGGAAGGCAATTTTAATAAATAACCTAGTATCCTAATCTAAACAGCTGGTTCAGAACTAATAACTTGTTTACAAGATTTTAATCGCTTTCTATTGCTAAAACCTTGTAAATTCTTCTTTAGTACTGGCAGCACTTCCTAAGTGGAAAACACAAGAAGAAGAAGCAGTGGAGCAAGTATAAGGATTCCCTTACGATACTGAAAGATAATGGGTTTGACCATTCATCAGTCCTGGAAAATACTGTCAAAGGACTTTTATATGGGCTCAATTTTCTGTAAATTGTTAGTATTTATTTGAATACATAGATTATAGTATAATTTAATTGTATAGGTTATCAAATTTGGCCAGTTCAGTAGTCAAATGGAGTATTTGAGCAAAATTGCTCTAGGTTATGCCAGCCAGTGAGAACTTTAAATCTGGCTAGAAGGTTCAACAGAATTTTACGTGAATACTGTAAATAATTTTGAATCTATTGTAAAAATTATATAATGAGAGAAAAGAAAAATATCGATAACAGCAGAAAGTTAGAAATGTAAGACAATGATAAAGTTGTCAACACTAAAACTTACTATGAAGGAAATGTGGTTTTAGAAATAGTCGTAAAAATCATAAGAAATGACAATTAAACAGCACTGCTAGATATTTTCAAATGGCAGCCCCGGACGGGCACTCGTTGCTATACATCTGAGAAAAACTTTGCCGCTATTTCCACATAACATTTTAACGAGCAATTCTGTATAGTTCATGGGGCAACACGCACCCAGATGGATTACATGAATTGTACTTAGGCTACATTAACACTGCTCCGTATTCGTTTCGTTCCGTTTTCGTTGAAGAAAATGCTGCCCGTTCACAGTTATCCAATAAAAATGCTGTTGGTGGCCTCATTTTTGAAAAGAGGCGTTCACGAATCCTCATCAAATTGGTGTCATTTTGAATAAAATCAAATAAAAGCAAATCGTGAAAACGTTGTTGTAACAGCTACCAGTCCATTGTGAATTCTCAATTTCGAAATTTGTGAGATTTGGTGTGCTAGAAAGCACGTATTTTGTTGCTGTTGTTAGCGTTTTCAAATTTCTCCGTTTTTGGTGTTTACACTGTAAACGGAGCGTATTCAATATGCGCCGTATTCAAAAGAATCCGTTTTCATTAGCGTTTTCAAACGACTATGTTTTCATAGCAGAGCAGTGTGAACGCAAGGCAAAAACGGATTAGTTTGACTCCGTTTTCATTTGAAAACGGAGTAGTGTGAACGGGTCCTTTGACGAATTGCTGTTTCTAGTAGCTACGGCTTAACTAAAGTCAACACTAGAAGTATCATTTGTAAATGCTTATTTGACAAAATTACAAAAATATAGGTAGATATACTAATTAAATGAAATATGGTGTTGTGTTTTTTTGCCTATCAGTTTACAATTGGGTTCACTTCGTTTATCACCAAGTTATAGATATAGTTAAGGAAAGAGCCGTACACAGAAGTGATGAGGTTTCTTCTCTCGCGAACCCACATATGTGACAACATCTTCCAAAACTGCATTTCCGAAAGCGATGATAAGACAAGTGATTTTTGTGCATTGTTTTGGAAAATAGGACCGTAGCAATAACGATAAAGTCCAGGTAAGGAGTAGCAAGAGATTGTCTCTAGGCAACGGGACCGGTCAAGCATGTCTTACGTTCTACGCATGAGCAAAGATCAACGGGTGGTTAAAATCTCGGCAAAACATCGAATTACTGAAAAAATACTATTAAAGTTGATAATTGGTTAAATATTTTGCAAAAATTAAAGTTGCAATACATTTTACCATGGAAGTTTGAATCTCAAAAGCACAGCAATAGAAAGGGGTGAGTAACTTCGCAAAATCCGATACAAGGGACGTCTTAATGGTGTTGGTTGGAATATCTTGAAAAATGTAGAGCCTAGTTCATTTTCAACAAAAGTGTAAACAAATGTTAAATGCGCATTCTCGTATAGTTTTCATAAACCATATCGTTAGCTGTTAATATTCTTCTACCAAGCTTGGTTAGTGTCAAAATTAATGTATTGTGTGACGTCATTGAAAGAAACAGATACTGACAGATTTAAAGCGTGCGGCTCATGAGCGCTCCACATGGAAATCTAAGTAGACAGTAACAAGTAGGGTTATGTTGATATTTCGTTGTCAAAAGAAGCAAAACAAGCAAATAAATTCTTAACTTCATTTTCCTGAACATTTAAGTGATATTATACAGAAGTATAAAAGTCCAAGAAAACAGAAACGTTTCTGTTGAGACTAAAATCACTTTCCAGTCTTTTCAATTAGGCCGAGCTGTTTGTCTGCCTCAGAAGAGCTCTGTTTTTAGGAGTGTTCTAGAGAAAAGTTCTTGTCATTGCATGACTAAACAAGTCAAATTACAAAAAGGATGACAATTTTGTTACCATAATCAATTTTAACTTTGAATCATTTCCGCGGGCACGTCAACAAGGAAAAGGGAGAGAATGTACTCTTCTATATAGCGAGATTATTTGCAATGTGGGTATTGATAGAAAATGCTTGCGATAACTTTCTAGATACTCTGTTTTCTTGCATCTTTTTCTTAGAAACTATCCTTGGTAGCAACTGTCGAAATGATGTCGACGTAACAATCTTTTTTGATAATTTGGAGGAATTTCATTCTAACGTTTAACAATTAATGTCTGAAGATGTGTAAAGGAAAGTTGGAATCAACCAACCCAAAGCAGCTAGGAAAGGTCTTATTGAAATTTTTTGTCGGGCAAATTCTTTTACAAACACGACCAAAAAAGGTTTTCAAATAAGTTAGGATAAATCATATTTTATGGGTATAAATCTTCCACCATGCAAAGAGATATGGAAGGTGAAGCTGCTTGGTAATTTAATGCGTACTATTAAAGACAATTGCACCTTCAACCTTTTCTCCACCACAGGGTACTTGTAAAAAGGAAACTAGATAATTTTCTTCTTGAAGTCATGCTCCGCTGTCCTATTTGTACAAAGGGTGTCTCAGTATTATTTCTTAATCCTTAGGAAGAAAGCGTGATAAAATGAGGTTCGTATTTATAATACTGAGTTTGTTGCTCGGTCTAGCCATGGCTAGACATCACAACACGAAGAAGCACCGGGCACATGCCGATGACGGAGCAACCAAATGGCATAAGAAGAGCCATCGCAAGGTTTGTCAAACATAATTGCATTATTGACGACGTCATAAGGGTCAGCTCTTTGCTTGGAAGAGCAAATTACAGGCATCAATCTTGAGAATCTCCTTTTTACTTACAATTCAACTCCCAAGAACAGCATGAAGACATAACTGGTGTATCATAAAACCCTATACAACACTACAGTAGGTATGGAAGTTGTAGCTGATAATATACCAAATTTACAGAAACCCCTATGTACCAAATTTTATGATTTCTAATTTCTTAATTTGATAGCAAGGGAGGGGGAGGGGGGGGGAGTGCGTAGTAAAAGCTTGAAGCAAAGTTATTGGGAGAACCTAAATTGCATGGCAGCCATATCTACAAAGGGAGATTTTCATCCAGCTCACTAACTGGGTACCATATCGCTTTTTCACTGAGGCAAGCAAGGACTGAGATACCGGGGGGCTGGGGAGGGGCTTGGCTTAAGTTGCATAAGTAAAATAATCTCATTTTATAAAATATGGCTGTTGTTACACTGATTTATCAGGGCTTTGGAGGCAAGTATTGTATCTCGGTCTTTGGAGGCAAGTATTGTTATATTATTGAAACTTGGTGTAGAAATTTCAAACTACACATCTTGTTACATTTTCAGGGTATGGAGAAGATAAAGAAATTCAATATTGAAGCAGCACCACAAAGTATAGTAAGTTTCTTCTGCTAGCCTAATCATTAACCAGCAAAAATTGAATCAAATGGGCTCTGAATGAGCTTGACAATGATTAACGACAATGAAGAGAAGAATCTTATTGCATAGAATTTTTCGCAGATTTTTATTCATGCAGGTATTGTGGTTTGTTGTTTATGTAGTTATACGTGGGTGATTATTTTATAGGTCTCTACTCTCTTCGTTTATTCAAGCTATAACAAGTGTTGAGAAAAACGATCTTTGAAGTTCTGTTTGTTAATGAAATTAGCTTTTACACTAAAAGTGTCAATGTTCATTGAATGATCGCAGGAATGTTTCAGACATCGGAGTGACGACCAAATTACTGAATCGGAGGAATATCTTATTTCCTCACGTTTTTAACAAGAAAATCAGAGGACACTTCGTTGTATTGATAAGCTGTTCATCAGAGATGAACTCCGAATGTCTGGTAAGATGTCAAGCAAATTGCGTTAACTGGTTTTATTTGACATTTTTCAGCTTGGTGACGCAATGCAAATAAAGATGAAAGGAAGAGATGGAGTTGATGGCAAAGATGGACCATGTGTAAGTGGTCTTCTTAGAGAAACAGTTGTCTTAAAGATCTGGTACAGCATGCACAGAGTATTTAATTGTGTAAAATATATCGCGTGTTTGATTGCCTATAGTCTCTTTAGAAACACCAACTACATTCAACAAATAAAGATGCCAGCTGAAACAGACCTTAGCTTAATGCTACTGCAGCTTATGCTTTGGCAAGTTTGGTAGATTGCTAATCTTCAATCTTAGTCTGAAGGATTCTGAAATAAAAATTTGAATGCTTCTGCAATGTTAGAAACTTACAAAAATGCTTTCTCTTAACAGGGACCTCCAGGTCCAGCTGGGCCACCAGGAGCACCCGGAGTAGCGGTATCTTTTTCATTCATTTTCATTTTGCCTTTCATTTTGTTCAAATTTCTTCATCAACCGTCATCAAAATTTGTTTGTGTGAAATACAGAGAGGATATCTTCGATAAATTTACCCAAAAAGAATTAATCGTAAAATTTCCTAAGAAGAAGAATCTAAACATTTGTTTCAGAGAATGATTTTGTCTCAGCGTCCAGTCTTAAGTTACAATTTGAATGGGAAGCTCTTGATGTCGATCAAGAAATTATTGGCGATACTGTTCCAAGGCCTTTCAACATCTTAATATTCTTTTGGACACCAGTACTTACCATTTTAACCATAATATAAAAAGACTAAAGGGGTCCGTTTTTAATTCTTGCATTACATTCTTTTCTAGGGACCAGCCGGCGATCCTGGGCCATGTCCTGCTAGCGAGGTAAACAACACATAAAATATACAATGCAAAACAGCAGTGATAATTTTGCTATAAGCAACTTTATAACTATCAATATATGGCTGATGTTCGCGTTGCAATGTCCTGTATGCAAATGCCTAGATACTCAAACGTCGCATCAACTGCCTGTTGAATGATATCCCCGACATTTAGCTGTCAAATTTGCAGGGGTTTATCCCAATATTGCCTACGGATATTTTCTTTCATTTGCAGTGCGATTTTCTCAACATCATGCCACTTGTAGCACGTATAACAGCACTGGAAAGATATGCCAGTGAAGGAGGGGCTGGAATGACCGGTGGTAGTTTGCCGGCGGCGCCTGACAGTGGCGGAGGAGGAGGTGGCGGAGGTGGTGTTGGAGGAGGAGCCGGATTCGGAGGTGGTGGTGGAGGCGGAGCAGGTGGCGGTGGAGGAGGAGGAGGTGGTGGCGGCGGAGGCGCAGGTACATTATAATAAAATTTATGAACTGCCTTGTATGGTGTGGGCCAGCAAACACTGGAAAAACTAGGACCGATAAGATGACTAATATTGGTAGAATGTAAACAGTCTCATTTTTATTAATCAAAAATGCATTCAATTGATAACTGTTGAAGTGGAGGCAATCTGGAAATTCCAGCAATGTAGCGCCAACCGAATAGAAACATCAAGTTAAAGTTGAAAACTGCTGTGTGGACATTCTACGGTAATCATAATTTTTACCTATTTGATCATATTCGGATTCTCTCCTTAATTTGTGACCCATTTTTGTTGAAAGGAAATATTGACAACTTGGAAAAGAAAGGCGACACAAAGAAAGAAGATGGAAACAAAAACACAGGAAATAAAAATAGCGGAAGTGAAAAACCTACCGAGAAAGAGAATAAATCAACTGGAGGGAAACAAGAAGGATCCAAGAAGGAAGGAAGCCAAAAGGGAGGAGACGGAGGTGTGTGGTGAAAGAGTTTCTTAGTATTGGCCGTTTTATTGACGGTGATGTTGATTCACTTGAAAAAAGTAATAAGGGATGGGTAAAAATGGCACATAAAAAAATAGAAATTGGTTCGATATGGAGAAACCTGGTTAGGCTCAACACTCGTTGCGTAAAGCATTTGAAAATATCAGTGAAACTGACTTTGGTTAGGCAACAAGTTTCAATGAATTAGCAATTGCAGTTTGTTACATTTCATATTTCAGTACAAAAGACCGCTGAGAATTTTTGTCAAGCATCTTTAATTTTAGAAAAATGCTTTTTTTCAGGAAAAAGCAGTAAAGGGTCCGGAGGAAAGGGAGATAAATCTGGAAATGAGGTACCGAAATACTTATTTGAAAGCATACAAATTATAAGAATAAATATGATATGTTTTTATTTGTGAATCTATCGCTTAAAAAGATAAGCCTACAATCTTGTATGGTCGATGAATGAATCCGTTTGCAGTAAACTCAAAATGAATTTTTTTCAGCAGAGCTTAATTGGAAATGCAATAGTTTTATGACACTATAGAAAAATAGCAATGATACGAAGCAGTTACCGGCAGCCAGGAGTTCGGTAAACACATGGGGCAAGATAAAAAGTAAATGATAAATTGGAGGAATGAAGTTGTAGCAAGTGTAGGGTTTGGTTGCTGAGCCTCTTTTAATAAACGATAAGAGAACAAACAAGAAAATGTCGTGTCACTATATCTAGTCTGGCCATTTTCAAGATTGACAACTGTAATGCAACTCAATATTTTATATCATTAAAGGCTCTATAATCGTTTGCTGTTAACGTGCTTTATGTATTGCGATAGTTGATCTTAGTTAGTTAGTTAGTTCACGACTCATGCTGGTCATGGTCATGAGTGTTATGTTTAGTATAAACAAAGTGTCTACGTGTGTTCGAGCCTGCGTTGTATGAGGTAGACGTTGCCTATGTATACCCAGAAGTTATACAAACACGTTGGATCTGTAATATTTGTGTCCTTCATAGGGATCAGGCGATGGTGGAAAAAGCAGTGAATCAAACAGCATCAAGAGATCGTAAGTACAGCAAAAGAGCAACTAAATATTAACAAAGCCTGAAGCAAAGGAAAGCGTTGTCCTGCAGTTATCGTGTGTTAAAATGTTAGATAGGGATGATGATATGATTAAAGGCAGCGGCTATATATATATTCAAGTTGCAGGCAATGTCGTAAAGAATACGGGTGAAATCCTGACATGAGCATTTCTATGATTTGATTGGATAAAACCAACCTACCTGTGTGTTGAATGGTCTAGACAAAGGTACAAATCCCTCAAAGCATGCTATTTGAACAGACACATTCTTCAAAAAAAAAAGTACAAAGCCTGGTTTCCATATGATCGCTGAGGATCGCTGAGGATCGCTGAGGATCGCTAGAGATCGCTGAGGATCGCTGAAGTTTTGTAACGATCATATGGAAACAGCGGTTCAAATGCCCAGCGATCCTCAGCGATCGTGAACGATCCATAAAGATCGTAAATGATCTTGAAAAATTAATAGAAACACACCAGCGATCGTGAACGATCCATGAAGATCGTAAACGAAATTAATGGAAACACACCAGCGATCGTTAACGATCCACAGCGATCCAAGTATCTCATGATACATTTGAGGTGACAAGAAAAAACAATCATGGCAAGGCACGTGGGATTCATTTATGTTTGAAATATGTTCATAAAAATAGGCCATCCATAAATATCTGCTTGCATTTTTAACAAAAATGTTTCAAGGAGTTGCACTTGCCAGTTAGTTTCAATCGACACAGGAACATTTTGTAACTAACTAATATCAAGAAACTATGCAGCTGAGTGGCGAACGCGCTTTGCTTTGCTTCAACAATTTTCCATTTCTAAAGAGAGGGTTAAAAATATTTGGTCTTGAAACCAGTTTGTTTTCGTTTGATCAATCCAGAGAGGTTATCTGTGAGGCTATCTGCCACAAATTCGTCAGAAGCAAGGGTCTATCATATAATCCAATTTGTGTTGATATTAATGCCAGATATCTAATGCTATGTTTCCTACACATTTTACCTCGAGCAATTTTGGATAAAACTTTGGAATATTACGTTATGTTTGCATTTTCTGTTATCTTGAAATAGCAAAGTATTAATTGAAACTTCGTTACTCACTTCAATGTTAAAAACTTTCTTAATACTTTCCAGTGTCGAAGAAGATGATTCTCTCTATCAGAAAATGGAGTATTGGAAAACAATCGGCTTGAGGATCAAACACGCGAAAGATTTGTCATAAATGACCAAATATGGCATGAAATACAATGCATTGCTTACCTTTGATGCTTGAATTTTCTCACCTTGGGAATAAACAATGTCTCAAGCTTGCTCATGCACGACTTTCTACATCGCAAAAATTAAATCATGATGCTTTCTCAGAGGAAGGAAATAATTAACAGACAATAACTTCTGTATATTCAGTGTTGTTTAGGGAAACGTGAACTGTAACCGAGTAAAAGATCAACTTCATCTTTAAAGTTAAAAATATTTTAACCTCCGCATAACGAAGAAACTTAACAAGTTTATGTCCTGGCTTTTTGAATGGTTTCTTCTTCTACAAAACTCCATACTTTTTGAGCCATAGGTAACGGTACGAAAAGGAACCGGGTCATAAATTACAACGATGGCATATTTAAATAGCCTAGCCAAGGAGGATGTTCTTCCCTATTTGTTGCCTTTTAGGCTATTCGGCAGAATCTACACCACTGGCTATTACGGACAGGCCTCGTCACAAAGACTTTAAAATTACTTCAGAGTATACAACAGCTGGCAGTTTGTGTTACACTCTAGGTTTAAAAAGATATTATCCTTTCGACGAATGACCGACTATGCAAACGACTGTACTGAAAGCCTAACATTGCCATTCACATGTCGGGAATTAGTTGTTGCAATTGAGTAAAAAAGCATTTGGCAGCTTGCTACACCTCTAACCTCTAACCAAATAGCTGGAGTATAAAGACTTATTTGTGTGAAAGAGCATGGCAAATGTTAAAAGGATAAATCTTCTCTTCTAACTATATTGGCCATAAACAGTTCCATTTGAAGGTTTAACTCTAAGTTTTCATTATTTCAATGCTTTAAGGTAGGAACAAAAAAGTGAACTTTGTAGAATTTGAATGTTCAGCTAATTTTAAAACGGCCCTCCATCATTTTAATAGGATAAACCAGAATGGGATAGAACTGAAAACAAATATGATACTAAAGAAAACAAAATGTACTAAGGAGAGGCAATAGTTCATCCCAATTCCAAATGAACGAAACTGCTGTTAAAATATGTAACATATCTCATGTACCAACCTACAAAATACTATAACAAATATCTACTAAACGCTGAGAAGATTTGGTCCAGGTCGTTTTCCAGGCCAAGCCTCTTTGGCGTATTTCTTTTTTCTAGGTTCAGAAATGTCTTGGCGCGTGTCCTCTGGTGCTTGTGGCACTATGGTTGTATCTACAACTACTGGTCCAATAGGGTTCACCTTTTCTTTCGGAGACACAACGTCTGGCGCTGACGTGATCGAAATTTTTCCCGCCATTGCGCCAGCCGCGTGGTTCTCCTCGTGGCTTGAGGGGATATCCGCGTAGAGGTCTGGAGCGTACGAGAAACTTTGCATTCGTTTTGTAATTGACTCGGTCATGGACTGGGCAGGGCTGAATTTGATTTTCTACGGAAGGGAAAGAAAGATTTGTCATTTCTCATAAGGGCAGATAATGAGAGTTCGCATGTGACGTCAATTATGATAAAAAACCGACTTTTATGGTAGTGGAGTCGCAATTAAAAATGTAGTAAGTGGACAAAAGTATGAGGAACAAACACGATCTCCTTGAAATCTTCATTCAAGCCTAAATTTTTGGGAAAAATCCAGATTTTTGATACTAATTTTCTTAATCAGAAAAATCTAAGATGACAGCAATCCTAATGAACCTTACAAAAAAAACATTCCAGCTTTCACACTCATTTTCAGTTTTTCAGTTTCAGTTTCATTTCTAAAATGTCCGCATAGAGATAACATTAATGTCCGCACTCATCTTAATTCTACAGATATCTTACAGAAACGAGTAAAATAGAATATAAACAAGAACTGTACCATAAAACATTACTTACTTTTGTTGGTACTACCATTTCAGTCTGTACAAGGTTGCGGAATCGACCAACAGTTGGGTCGATGTCCTCTGCAAAAACAATCATTTTACTATTTACAAAGTCTTGCACAAGGAAAAGGCAAAATACAGTAAGATCAGCTCAAATATTTTGAGAAACTGAAAGATTGAATTGGTGCCTGGAGAGAATGTCAAGTAGATCACATTTTACAAAAAAAGTCAACTTACCTGGGTTGATAATTTCTTCTCCGTCTTTAAAGATAACATGGATGGTAGATGATCTTCGACGCTTTTTTGGAGTTACTATGTTTGAAACGTCGTCATTAACAACTGCGTGTCGCCTGTTCTGCGCTGTGTTATATTCCGTGAGGTCCTGAAATCGTACGAAGAAGCTGCGATTTGACTTATACTATAAAACTTTCCTTGGAAAGAAATCTGAGGTTTGATGACACTACATAACAATGAGTTAGATAACACAGGAGATAAAAAGAGTAAGTAGGGGAAAAAAAGACACACAGAAAAGTATGGAAAAGGGGAAGGTAAAGGGAAAAAGTATTACAAGGAAAGGAATAAAAAGCAGTGGACAGCAAGAGATAGGAATCGATAACAAAAGGTAGTACAAAAAGGGAAGCAAAGAATTGGAGAAACAGAGAAAGATAATAATGGAATAAGAAATGAAAGAAAAGAAAGGCAATCGGGTAGGAATTAAGTGAGAAAGAGATAAGTGAAAATAAAGAAGAGCACTAGGGTAAGAAAAGAAAAAAGAAAGCAAATGACAGAGAAAGGGAAAGGGGAAAGAAGAAAAAGGCAGGAAGGATTTTTTGGGTAGAAAAGGGGAAAAAGAAGAGAAAAAAAGAGAGATATAGTGCAATGAAGGAGAAGAGAGGTTAGGGAGGGTGTTGAATGGAAGAAGAGAGGAGGAAAGTGCAGACACAAGCAACAACGCAGAGGACAAGAGAAATAGATGGGAAAGACAAGAAAATGATGCACGATAAAATGGCCTACTTACATCGAGTGCTGTATCTTCTTCTGGCAATCCTAGCAAAGAATGAACTGTCTTGTCTTTATCATCTTTGTCTTTAAGCGAATCTAATCCTGCTACCTGGGCATTAGGCCTTTCTCGCAAAGTAAACCTTCGCGTAGACGCGCCGAAAGCTAAAGTAGAATCAACAAGAACCTGCACTGGTTTATGAGGGTCAACACGTATTGACCCAACGAAGGTGCCATGTGCTAGAAGGAAATTAAAGAGAACTCGTAAACTGACAGGGGAATCCACAGGGGGCCAGACCAAAACACTGAATATTTCAATCGTCCAAAAATCATTTTCTTTGGGATGATACTAGAGAGGTTAGCAACCAGCACTTTTATGAATATAAAGAATATAAACAACTAAACGATTCTCAAAGGCTGATCGTTAGTCAAGGAATCCTTCAACATTAAAGGGGGACTTAGAGGAATGATAGGTTTGAAACTCACAATACAAACGGAAAACAGTCCTGACTATGAGTTTTCTAAAATAGCCAAAAAACCTTATGGTGTGAAAATCGTAATAGCTTTGAAGCCACTGAGAAAGTCGCACCCACTTTAATAGAAAAGAAAAATGAGAAAGATTTACTCTTTAGCTGACATGTGCTCTTCTAGACTCACTGAATCAAGGTGAAGTGATATAAAATGAACAAGGCGGGCTCCCGCACAAAACGTTGCATATAAAAATAGCACACGTTATGGTGGGCTACTGTCCAACATAAACAAGGGGTCTGATATAAATTCTCTGCACACAGCATGCGCTGTTGAGATTAATGGATATCTGCAAGAATTCCCTAGATAAAAAAGGGGTGGTTGGTGCCTTGCTAATGGATCTCTCAAAAGCGTTTGATTGCATAGACCATGAGCTATTAATTGCGAAATTAAATGCCTATGGTTTTTGTAAAGATGCTCAATTATTGATTTATAATTACCTGTCCGGTAGAAGACAAAGGGTAAAATTAAATGGTTCATTCAGCACTTGGCGAGAAACCTTTGCAGGTGTACCACAAGGATCAGTCCTTGGGCCTCTTCTCTTTAATTTATATATTAATGATTTATTCTTAATGGTAACTGATACGGCAGTATGTAACTTTGCTGATGATACTACGATTTTTGCAGCTGACTGTCAATTAGATAAAGTTTTAGAACGGCTAGAAACTGATGCTCTTATTTTATCAAAATGGTTTCCAGAAAACTTTACGAAATTGAATGCAGGGAAATGTCATCTTCTTACTTTTGGAACAAATCAAGATGACTTTAAGATCAAAATCGGTGAGGCCATTGTTGAAGAAAGCTCTGAAGAAAAACTGCTAGGGGTGATAATAGATAAAAATCTTAATTTCAAAAGTCACGTCTCAAATTTATGCAAAAGAGCCAGCCAAAAACTGCATGCTCTTGCTAGAGTTTCGCCATTTATGGGTTCTGATAAACTGCGTCTCCTAATGAACAGCTTCATAAAAGCTCAGTTTAGTTACTGCCCCCTAATTTGGATGTTCCATGACAGATGTCTGAATGCTAAAGTAAATAAAATCCACGAAAGAGCACTCAGAATTGTTTATAAAGACAGTCATGCTGACTACGAAGCATTGCTGACTTTGGATAATGCAGTATCAATTCACCAACGCAATCTACAGTACTTGATGATAGAAATATACAAAACCAAACATAACCTGAACCCTAGTTTCATGAGTGAGATTTTTGAAACAAGAAATGTACATTATGATTTGCGAACTAAAAATAATCTTTGCATTCCAAAAGCCAGGACAACTTCTTATGGTATAGAAACTGTGAGATATTTAGGTCAAAAACTGTGGCAAACACTACCTCACAGTATAAGAGAGTCCCAATCATTGGCAACATTTAAAAAAGAATTAAGAGCACACCCTATAGAATGCGACTGTAGATTGTGTAAAAAATTTATTGCTGGGTTAGGTTTTATTTAGAACATTATACCTTAAACCTTTTTAATATTGTATCATATATTTTTATTTCATACTAACTCTTTATAGATAGTTGGCCTTAATTAGCTTCTTTATAGCTATCAGCCGTTCATTTAGTACGCCAACTTTAAACAAATTATTTATTATTATTATTATTATTATTCAAATTACCGCTTTGGTTATGTTATTATCAGCCAATGATCCCCAAACAGAAAAAACCAGAAATATAATAAAATGCTCCTTTCCGCTTTCTAGGTCAACTTTATAAGGTTTTTTCACGTGTGAAAAGGACATGACTTTATGTTTGTCAAATTTAAGCTGCAAAGCAAATCAATCCGACACCCTAGGAGACTTCTTTTTATTCCTGTTTTGCAAAATGTATTGGCTGTAAAAGTAATGTATAGCTTTATTGAATCTGTGATAGTCTTGATGTGTCATGAAAGCGGTAGCTTAAGGTAATCTGAATAACTTACTGCTTCCAAGATCAATTATAAACATTCGCTTGAGATGGCGATGGAACACAAGTGCGGCGTGTACACGAGAACAGGATGCGTGGTCTAGCGGGAAATCAACATGATCCCTCAGTCGGCCAAACAAGAAGTAATCTTTGCCATCGATAATTAATTTCTAGAAAGAAGAAACAGTTGAAAGGATTAGAGTTGAGCAGTGGAAAGGATTAAAGTACACTTTAAAGCTATCACTTATTGATTAAGTATTTAAAAAATGCATGTGATATCAACAATAAACTAGAATTTATTGTAACAATTCAAGGCACCACAAGTGTCCTCCTGCATAGTAGTGATTTCTATGTACTTTTTCAGAGTAAAGGTCATTTTTAGTACCTATGAAATGCAAAAGTTTGTGTGAAACTGGGGAGGTTTTTGATATATACTGAAGTATTCGTTGACAAAAAGGCAGGACACTTACAGTACAAGAGATTTCCAAAACAAAAAAGGACAGTTTCTGTCTGCCTTAATTAAAAACAAAGCACTTTCATTACTTCTAAACTGGTTTTTTACTTTTCAATGTTATTTAAAAGCACTGACTCAAGGTAAAAGAAGTGGGCACAACATAAAAAAGTTAAATAATTTGTATTGCATTGCCATTTGCAGACTTGAGACTGATCAAAAAGTTGCCTTGTACTGATTTTGAAAACAGATGCCATAAATGTTTCAAACAATGGCCACTGAAATCATATAAACTTCATGGGCCTTACCAAAAGGCCAAGAACCAACTGCAGTGGATGTCCTTTTGCCATGACTCAATTATTTTAATCTATAGTGAAAAGGGACATATAAATTTACCCACCTCGACAAGTTTGTCATTTTTTGAAACATCCAGATGCATACCTGCAGGAGGCTTGCCTACCCTGCAATGTAACTGATAAAGATCAGTTGCCCGCATAAACACAAGCACCTCAAACAGTTTTTTATTTTGCTAGTACAAAAATTAGAAGATTCACAAGTATAGAAAGATATGGATTCTTCATTTTCATATTGCCAGAATATACCTTGCAGAGAGCAGGAATATGCATTCTGCATTCCGGTTAGTTCATCAATAAATTTGTGGTTCAGATATGAAATAAAACGATTTTCTCTTACTTTTTTTCAAAAACTAGCTTTTATGTTAAAGAGAAATTATTATGTGAAAAATGAAATGTAGATGACGATGCTTAGTTTAGTAGCTGAAAAAACAACAATGTATTTAAAATATGCTTTAACCATCAAAAGCTGTTTATCTAAGATAGCTTAATACAATAAATAAAATGTGTTTAGCCATTGGTATAGACAAGATAATTTTGGCATTTAGAATAAGATTCATGGCTACCATTTTTAACTGCAAAGTTAAACTACCATTTAACTGCATAGAGAGAGAGAGAGAGAGAGAGAGAGAGAGAGAGAGAGAGAGAGAGAGAGAGAGAGAGAGAGAGAGAGAGAGAGAGTTGTCTGTTACAGTGGATGTCAGGACCATAACGTGATTTGAAAATGAATGACCCAGATGCACTTTGCCTAATTTATGATATTTGAATTTTGAATATGTTCTTTTTAGATAAAGCTGTGTTTATTGAAAATTGCAAGGTGTCCAAAGAACAGATTTCCTGGCTTGCAAGTAAAACAGCAAAGCAACAAAACTTTTTGGGGTCAGTTTTGCAGACTAGAAACTTTGGAGAGGTGTTAAAGGCAAGTCAAAGATATGATACATACGATGCTTCATACCCTCCTTCTTTATGTAAAAAACTTAAAGGAGAGTATTCACTGGGAACAAAGGATGCAATTATGCGGGGCAAATGCATGAGGCACAGGCAATAAAAGAGTATATGCAAAAGACAGGCAACAAGGTAAAACCTGCAGGTCTTTATATTTTTCCATGTGGATTTCTTGGTAGCAGCTCTGATGGAATTATTGAATTTGCTGCTGATCAGAATGAGCAGGGGGGGTTTTAGAAATAAATACCCATTTGAAATTCAGAAATAATACAATTGAAGAAATTCTTCAGATTGAATTAGGTAACAAAGAGGAAAAAGATATTATTTTTTATGCATTGTGCTCAAATTTATAGTATGCCTGATAAGTATTTTAGGCAGACTTGTGTTTTTCTATCCAATGTTTATTCTTTAAATTAGATTAATTCTTCCATCTTGTTCCTTTAATTTTGACAATATCTGGTTTTGAAGTTCGGAGGCAGTAATGATGAATTCTTATACTTTTCAACTATAAACTTTAGAGAATTTAAAACTTTTTGGATTACCTAAATGTCTTACTTTCCATTGAGGTTACAAATAAATAAAGATAAAGGGAAAGGAACAATGACAATATTTGTTGAAAACTTCTGGCATTGAAATTTCTTTAAAAACTTATGTTACCTTCTTATTTGTTCAGAAAATAACAGATCAAATTTAAAACATGCCCAAAACTATGCTTTGTTAAATTTACCTGAAGTCTGATCTAACCTCTGGGCCCTCAAAATCTAAATTTCTTACTTGCATGAAATATGTTTACTCTGTTTTGGTTACCATTTTAAAACACATATTGAAGAAAGATATTTATTCTTTCCCTTTCACATGTGTTCTAAATATCAATCTTATAATGATACAAATACTGATTTATATGACAAATTTAGCATTGTTCAAAAACAAAATTTCCAGAATGTTGCTTCTAAAATGTTTTCACCAATATGCAATTGTATATCTACTTCTTACTTATCAAGAATGGTAGAATGATCAAGTCAGGGAATAAGGTTGAGATAAAAAATGCTAGATATGGACATGATTTGTTTTGCAAAGTTGCTTAGTTATTATGCCTTTTATTTATGTTCTTCTGTCTTAGATAAAACTGATTTAGTAAAAATTTCAAAAACCTTTGCTATAATTGGTGACTTGAAATCTACAAGAACAGCACAAACTTGAGTAACTCTATCAATAAAAGGTCCTAATTGTGTGTTGATATGATCTAATATTTTGTAGCTCCTAAGTCTTTGAAAAGCACCTTGCACATAAATTCTAAACCCTGCAATTTTTTCTAGAAAAGACAGTTTCTTCTTTTTTGAATTGCGTTTTACCACAAAGGAATGCAGGCAGCTTAAGAAAAATGTTTTTTTGCAGCAAGTCATGAATCAAAAAGCCCTTGCCTGCAAAAATCAAATCACCATCATTTATGTGTGATATGATGTTTGATTGTTGAGTTACAATTTTATCACTTGTGCTACTAGGAAACCTTTGCTAATGAATGTTATGGCACAATTTGGAGAAACACCAATAAGATGCTTTGCTGTCAAGTATTGCATTGCAAGCTGTTGAGTCTTCTCTTGGTGCCTCTATTTTGAGCTATGTACAGTCAAGTATGACTCTGAAGTTTGCTAAATCTCCCAATGTTTCTGGTTAGCTGCACCTATTTTTTGTTGAGATTGTAAAGAGCCCATCATCGCCTCAAAAAATATTTCATGTAGAGCATGCAAAAAGGTCATCACAATATTTTGAATTGTGTTCTGACTGACTGTGTACCTTCTTGCTAGATCAAAATAAGGCAAGTCAAATTTCAGTCCCATTAATAATATCAAGAGTTGGTCATCTATGCAGGTTGAGGTCACCGGCTTTCCTGACCAGTAGTTCAATGGTGAGAATCTTTGTACCATTCCTACCACCGCCTCAAAGATTTGCTTCTCTAGCCCTGTGTACTGCTTGACTTTGATGGCTGCAAGATTTTTAAATCTAAAACAGCTTTTCTCCATCTTATCTATTTGTCCTAAAATCTTGTTTATTTGAGGCATTTCAGATGTGCTTATTGTGGCTGCTGGCATACTAAGTCACCAGAAACCTCTTGGTCTGCATTTCCAGGCAGAAAGGCTTCCAAGATTGACTCTGTTTGCTAGAATACACCATGCATAATTTTTCCTTTCGAAATACAACCTTTAACTTATTCTCCCTTTCCTCTGATATCCACATTAGGAAATGCAGTTTTGGAGAGGTGTTTTCTCCTGAAAGCCATTGGTGTGTCAGTGTTTGGGACTGTAAAATCTGATGGAATAAAATGTCTTGAACAAATGTAAGAGGTTGAAGTTGGTGCAAAGTTTTCTTGTGGTACTCTTTAGTAACTTATCTTCTTTCGGTTAATGGAAAAATGAAAGGTCAGAATTAGGAGTGCAAAAACTGAAAAATTAAAAAACCCATTTTCCAAAGAGTTGTATTCTTGAAATCCTTGAATAATGCATATCATCCTTTCAGATTAAAGTTTAGTTTTGAAAACAGTCACTGATTGTTACTTGTCCATTGGCAAAAATTTGCTTAAACCTTGAAGCAAAAGCTGCAGGAAATGATTCAGTTTAAGATGCTATTATAGCATTTAAGGGACGCAATATAAATCATATTATACCTGTATGGTATCTAGTTGGGTGTCTTTATACAAACAAAACAGGTCACTCTGATCTGATTGCTTTGACAAAGTGTGAGAGGTAAAAATCTAAAACTCACGAATGTATTATGATAAACTCTCTGTTTGAGTAAAGTTTCTACTTATGAATAAATCTGGCTGAAATTATGAACACCTTTTCCAAAGCCTATTGCACGTGCAAACAAGAGGTTTGTCAAAACATCATCAGTTTTTGAAGGATATCGTGAGGTTATCCATAACTGTCAGCTTGACACAACACAAAGAGCTTACGGTCTCTATGAGTGAAGCTTAGTTTCATTTGCTTCGCGTAAGTGTACCCCGTATGGAGAAACTTTCCGTGAAGGAGGCAAACGCTTTCGGCGGTGGGTAAGCACATGCCAATAACAGTAGATGGGCCTAAGGGTTCTCAAGTCTTCATATGTAGCTAAAAAATAAAGTGGAGCATAAAATTTCGATTCTAAAGACATTCGCAACATTTAAAGGAAGCAAAACCACTTACCATGTCGGTGGATCGTACTTTGGAGGCGGTGGCGGTTGTTCCTTTTTCGAACCGCGGTCACCCCTCTTGTCCGCCATCTTTAACTTCTTTGTAGGCAGTACACAGGGAAACACCAGTCAGAGTAAAACGTCCACTTTTTCTGGGCACTCGCTTTCAAGGATTTATCCTTAGACTAAGGAATTTTGGATATTTTTAAGGAGATTTTTAAGGAATATATGTTTTTGAGGATTTTTTAAGGAATTTTCCAAATTAAGAAATAAAAACAAAACAATAAATAACAAGATATTAAACATAACAAAACTACACAAATCTACTATGCAAGTGCTGGCACTGCTGTAAAAGTGTCAATTTTTGGCAATTTTAGAAAATTTCTAACAATTTCATGCGCTTGACTAGCTGTCGCATTGCTTTTTAGTTTCTGCACCAGTTCTAATAGCATACCATCCAGCTTGATTTGGTGTGTATGAATTACCATTACCTTCATGCTTTGATTGGTGTGCATTAAACCAACTAATGTCTCGGGCTTCAAACTGCTTCTTGAAGATGTCTTTACCAGCTTCAAAGAACTGAACAAACGCTCAACAGATGCATTTGAAAAAGGTAATGAAAATGCCTTGCTACCACTTTTCTCTAGTTTGGATACTTGTAACCGCAATTAAGCATCTTAGCTTCAAGTCGGTTTTTCCACAAAGCTGTTGAGGTTTGATTTGGTAGAATATCGGCGCCCTCTTCCAAAGCTTGCTGCCTCCATTCCAAGTCTGCACAGCTACTATCTGCTACAGTTCTTAAAAACGGCATCAGGGTGAATGCATCTTGAAGCAATGGAGGCTTGCATTGGACAGCATTTGATGGCAGTAAAAATTCTACAAATCTGAAAACTGGCTGGTTGACTTGAAAGCGCTTTCTGATTCGCTTGACTAACTCAATCAGGAAGGCAAGGCATGAACTTCTCACTTTCAAAGCATTCTCAATGTCACCAGGGGCGAAACTACTGGGGGGGTATGGGGGGTGCTGCACCCCCCAATCTTCAAAAAAGCAGATTTTGTCGGGCAAATTTATGGCTGCCGGCGTATCTGTCGGGCAAATCTGGAAATTTTCTTTAGGTCGCACTTTTATTGCTACTTTTTGCCCTAGGTTGGTTTTTTAATTCATGGTCTTTTCCCCCATCTTTTTTTCGATCTCCTCCCAGTTGGGAAAACAAAACAGAAACGAGGCAAGGAACAGCAACATATATACATTTCTGTCTTTCGTCCGTCCACCGATCAGCGCTTTCGTCTGGAGCTCAACGCGCACATGTTTATCTTCGCCTCGAGATGAAGTCTGAAGTATTGATCGACAGCAAAAGTATAGACAGAAAGTAAAGTGTGTTTGATGCGAGAAGGAAATGAACACTGTGTATACCCCTCCCCCCTACTTTTTGCAAAACAAGTGAGCTTTTTTCAAAATCTTTTGTTGTGATTTCTAAATTTTCCCTTGAAAAGCCCCCCCAACGTTCCATCCTGCCTCGGAGCCCATAGAACACTGACAGTTTTAGAAGCATCATGAATCAAAGCATGGAGGATATACCATCTCGGAATAAGTTATTGAGAAAATCAATAAATATTTTCTTTTCCAAATGTATGAAACTTTCATTCATGAAATCATACATGTTTTAGAATTTAGGTCAGGACATTTGAAGAAGACATCATTTGGGTTTTAAACATTTCATAACATCAACAGGAACACAATAAAACTATTTACAATAAACAAGATCCAACGTGAACACCTTTTCATTACAACGTGGCGTGAACAAATGACTAATGCAACTTCGAGGTCTAGGAAAGAGTGAAGGATTAACCGCGTGCTGCTCCTTCACAACAATACATATCCATAAGGAGTTATGCCCCAAAATCTTAAGGTTTTACACTTACGGGTCGAAAGTATTGCACCCTTCGCTAGAAAATGGTCATACAAACGCCAAAGTTTTTTAACTAAAAAATTTGAATAACCCATAACAAGTAACAGGAAGTTTTAATCAGTTCAAGCGGGAAATAATATAAAATTTATCAAGAAATTGTAGTTAAGATATGAAATGCAAAAATCTTTCGAGTTTATTCTATTTCTGAACAATATCCATGATTACGAAAACATGAAAACTGAGCTTTGATGATAGGTATACCTGTAAAATACCTCCAATAAAAAACTTTTCTTTGCTTGAGGGATTTTGTTATGGTGAATTTAGATATACGTACTTTGTGCTTGGGTGTCTAAAAATATTGAAATTGCATCCGGAGCAACCGAAAATTGAAAATGAAACTCAGAGAATGCAACTGAAGCTCTTTTTTGTTAAAACATTGTAATCTGCGTAGCTGTTTCTAAATTCCGAAATTCCCAAGCTGTGTTTTGGTGTTCCACTTTGATAAAATTGAGACCCTACTTCAATCTCTTTTTTCAATTGCTCTCTTAATAGCTAGGTGATTTAGAAAGTGAAGAAGACTTTTTTTTTATAGAAAAGACAGGCCTTACAAATGCTTGCTTTTCGGAAACAAATGTTTATAGCCAACACCAGAAAAACTAGAGGCATATTTTTTGACTTAAAACAAACAGCCTAAGTCTAAAGACCCTCTTTCGGGCTTCCCGATGATTTCAGCCCTTGAGGCGATGTGCTCTAAAAATGAAGTTCATGTAGGACACGCCCTTTCATCAAGCATGCCACGCCCTTTCGTCGGGCAACTAAGCTTCATACCCCCCTAATGAAAATAGTGAAGTTTCGCCCCTGAATGTCACTGCATGAAGATAATGTGCTGGTAGCGTTTATGCCGATATAGACATCTTTCAGCGGAACATGCTTTGACTTGTCTTCAAACTCTATCGTTAAAGGGTCGCCTGCTCTTATGACTTCTAACTTCAAAAAATCTTGCATGATGCTTCTCAACAGTTTGACAACTTCTGCTCGAAGATGATGCAGCATTGATTCTGTTGATTGAAACATTGTGTTAAAGTTGTTGAGCCGGTGTAGTTGGTATTGCATAAATTCTAGCTGCGCTTCAACAAACGGGTTACGTAATGCAGTTAGTATTGACTCAGTTGTGTAGGATGGATCTTTCCCATTTACAATAAAATCTGTAAAGTAGAGCTGTAAAGCAGCCCATTGCTCCAATATTCTTGAAATGCAACTTTCCAGGGACAGCTATCTGGTTTGACCACAGCTCAGGATTATGTGGGGTTCGGCTTCAACAAACTCTTGAAATTGCTTAAGTTCTTTTTGTGTCAGAGAGGATCTTGAAAAATGGGCATAAATGTTTCTGCAAAAATCTTCAAGTGAGGTAGAAAGCTTCAAACATGCATGTGAAGTGTGAGGACCTCTCCGAAGACCCCCCTTTTAACCATTATTACAAGAACTGACTTACCCCCGGCAAGAGGACTTTTTAGTTAGTTAGAGAGAGGGACTGTTCGAATCACGTTGAGTAGTTGTAAAGAGTATTTGGTTTTTATAAAGGTTTGCGTTGGAAAACTATTTCGTGTTTTGTGTGTTTATTACTTGAAGCTAATTGATTTGCACTCGAACCGGGCCACATTTCTGGTGACAACGACGTGACAAGTAACTGTAAGTGCAAATCTTTTCAACTTTTTCTTACAAAATTGATGTTCTCAAGAAGAAGCCACCCAGAAGAAAACAGAAATTGAAATGATGCAATTATTTGGCAATATCGTATCAAGATTTGTTGTTTTTCTTTTGTGATGATTATTGTGCTTTGTTGACGAGGCTTGAGTCTGATTTTCTTGTGTCTTTCTCGATCTCTCAGTTGCGTTTGTTTACGTTAGGCCCGTTAAAGTTGTGCCATTACGGATAGTCGAGACTGTTTTCGTGTATTTTGGTAGTATCAAAATGGCACTAACTGATCGGACGATGATTTATTATTGGAATGTCATGGTCTACTGACAGGGATGCGCAAGGAGACACTTCATGAAATTTGCGATAAATTGGGGACAATCTCAGAGTCGACCTTTTTGGACAAAAGCCGTTTCGAAACCGTAAAATTGATTTTCGAGGAAATTGAAAAACTAACGGAGAAATGCAAAGAAACAGAAAAGGCAGCAATTCTCAAGGATATTCTGAAACAAATTACTGAGGTAAAGAGCGCAATTGCGAGCGGGGGAGATGAGCAACAGACATTGGCTTCCGTTAGACAGGATTTAGAGAAGGAAGTAACACTGTTAAAGGAAAAACAACAAAAAGAGATGGAAGCGTTGACTGATAAATTGAGTGCTGTCAAAATAAGGACAGGGGGAGACGTTCACATAGATAATGAATTGAATAGACAGGCGACATCTGAAACAAATACAGGGGCTTGCAAGCAATTCTAAAAAGGGAATTCAGAATTTTCGGGACAGTGGGGGCCCAGGGGCAAAAAGAACAGTTTTTCCATTTGAGCCTCAGTAGACAAGGGGAAAGTGGCAAAGAGCGCGGTTATTCCGAAAAGGATTGGTTGACGGGCTCATAAAATGCATAATGCTGGAAATACCCCTTAAAGATTATTTAGAGGTGATGCGAGAAATGGGGTTGGAAACTCTGATGAAAATTATTCGCGCCCACTATCAAGAGAAAAATGCTAGTGAGCTATACGCTAGCCTCGCAAATTTGGCCCAGTCACCAACAGAAGATCCTCGAAATTTTCTACTACGTGCCCTAAATTTGCGGGAAAAGATAATTTTTGCATCAAAGCAGGAGGGGAGCAAATTACAATATGATACAAGTCAGTGTCAGTCCAGGTTTCTGCATGCAATCGAGACTGGACTTCTTAGCAACACTCTCAGAACGAGGATGAGACCACACCTACAACGCCCAGATGTTACAGATGTTGAATTGATTCAACAGTTAAACCTCGCTGGTGCAGAAGAATCAGTAAACCTCGCTCGCTGGTGTAGAAACAATAAACTCTATATTAAAAAAGTCTGGATTCAATGGTATATTTTTACATGTTCATATGCGAGGTTTGATTGAATGCGTCAGAGCTTCTATTACTGTGATTGTGCATGTTTGAAGATTCTGCGAAATGTACAAAAAACGAATATTGTTCAGTTTGAATGTTGTTTTTGAATGGCTGAAAGCCTTTTTTCTTTAAACTGAAATACACTCATGTTGCCTGAAAAGTTTCAAATGCCTTATCTGGTACTAGTAAAAGAGATTGCAAAAAAAGAAACCATGCAACTGAAGAACATACAACAAACCTGTTTGCGCTGCTGAAAACCAACTAATGAATTTTATATGCCTGAATCAAAATGGACTCCAAATGATGTTGATAAGTAAATATCAATTTCTTTCTTGTTTGTAGCACTGGGATTGGCCAGAAGCGTAAGGTAGACATGGCAGGCAGTGTTAACAAGGACAGTGTTTTTATGACCTTTTAATGCCAACAAGCTAAAGACTTTTGATTTCTCCAATATTTTGATTACGGCTTATTTAGTGGAAAAAACTGTGTTGAAGTTTCCCAGAACTATCAAATACGAAATAATGAAAGATGACCGTTGCTGGGCGAGATGGGGGTTTAAGGATTTTTTGGAAAAGTTATGAAATTTTCTCAAAACCTGCGAAGCAATCGAACCATGCAAAAGGAGTGAGAAATTTGAAAAGAACGCAGAAAAATTGGAACTGTGAACGGAAATATGGAAGTGACATGCCATATATATCAGCTGGTGGTGCAGGCACTCTCTCAGTCCAAAGAAACCTTTGTCACTGAGTTTGCTCAACTGGATATGATCATGCTGAGTGCAATTCCAAATAGTCACCCAGAATTAAGGCTCGTTTTCATAAATCGTATTTTGCTGTATTTTGTCGTATATCTTCGGATTTGATTATTGCGATCATTGAAAAGTATGAAAACCGCCAATCGCATTTGTCGGAATTAGATCGGAATAGACCTTTTTCCTGTTGCGGCCATCATCTTTCCGCGCAATGCATTGTGGGATTGCCAGGGGGCAAATAATCTGCACTGCAGTTTTCTTGCTCCGCAGGTAAATAAGTGCTTCGCTTCAAGACTTGTTAAAGTTTACTCAAATTTTGCTCGCTTTCCTTATTTTACTTCGACGTTATGGGTAAATCTGATCATTGTGCTGTTTGGGGCTGTGATAACGATCGCAGATATCCTGACAAGTATGTAATTAAAGAACACATTTCAGCATTTGATGGATGCAAGCACATTCGTTTTTGGTCATGCAAAGAGAAATTCTTCCGTACGTGGTCAAAGCTCGTCAACAGGGAGGTTATCGACAAAACATCTGGCAAAAAAACTCTTTTTAAAGTTGGGAAATCAACAAAGGTATGTTCCAACCACTTTCAATACGGAAAGCCAACAGATTCCTGTCCGCACCCTACATTATTTTTAAAGGGGTATGATGGGCCTAGTCAACCAAAAAGAAGGCGACTGGATCGTTCAGATCTTTTCAAGCCGACACACAGTGAAGCAACACCTGTTAACATCAGTGAAACTGTAGAAATTGATAATTTTCACGTGTCAGAAGTCATTGCTGAAGAAAATGCTGATAACCATCCTGTTCATGAATCTGTTGATATCCCTCAAAGTGGCTTGGACACTTCCAAAGAACGTCGTGCACATCGATTGTCTTGGGATTCTATTTCTGGTAACAACCCCATCATAAAATTATATACAGGTTGCCCCACTGCCAAAGTTTTTTTGTTCATTGTGGATCGTGTCAGATCAAAGCATGGCAAGATCTCTTATTTTAAAGGCAAGAATTCATTCCAGGTTAAGAACTACCAGCACAGCCCATCAAAGCCTTTGTCAAGAAAAAAGACTGGACCATCCCGCCAACTCAAACTGGAAGATGAAATTCTTTTAACCCTGATGCGCATTCGTCTGGACCCTCCAATTGAAGACCTTGCTTTTCGATTTAAAATTTCTGCTAGCCATGCATCAAAAATATGTACAACCTTTTTTGTGTTGTTGGCACGAGAGCTGGAGCTACTCATTTATTGGCCAACACCAGAAGAAACTCTAGCATTCAAGCACCCCCACTTTTCTGGGGACTTTAACAAGGTTGAAGGCATTGGTGATTGCACTGAACAAGTTATTCAAAAGCCTGCAAATTCCAAGGCTCAGTACCAAACATACAGCACATATAAGAGCAGAAATACCCAAAAGAAATTAATATTCTGTACAAAAGGAGGATCAATTAGTTTTGTGTCAAGGTCCTATTCTGGCTCTGCTTCAGATCGTTTTATCACAGAAGACTCCAATGTTGTGCAGAAATTTCATCCTGGGTTTATTGCTATGTTTGACAAGGGTTTCACAGTTCAGGATATATTTCTTCCCAGGCAAGTTAAAGTGCCACCCTTCGTTCGAAGCAAAAGACAGTTTACACCCTCAGAAATATCTGAATGTAAACGAATTGCAAGAGCAAGAATTCACATTGAGCGTGTTATGGGAAGACTGAAGGAATTTAGACTACTGGATCATACTTTACCTCTAACCTTGTTAGATATAATTGATGAGGTCTGGTTAATTGCAGCTGCTATTACCAATTTGCAGCCACCACTTGTAAAAGGACAGCCTCGTGACTAGCCTCAAGTTTAAAGTAGTTCTTAATTGCTTATTTTGAAGTTTTTTCTATGCAGGGTTTTACTGTAACTGTTAAATTTATCCGAAGCTGTGACCAGGCATGAATATGAACAAACATGAATATATAACGTTAATAGAACAAAATCAGGCCTAATACAACGGCTAACATATTCGAGAGTAAAACAGCGTGGTAAGCGAGTTATCTAAGAGTCCATTGTCCAATAAGCTTCAACATAACGTAACACGTGACTACAGCAAGCATAAGATAATAATAATCATATATTCTAATAGTAACGAGTCTCCTATCTCCAATAAAACTGAAAAGAACTACAACTTAAAGCATATGTTTAGTTATATTAGTAATAATCTTGAGTCTAACTTTTGAAGTTCCTTTTGTGCTTCTTCACTATCCAGTCTATCTTCAACCTTTCGCAAAAGTCCTTTCATTACATTTCTGCATGCAACAACATTTTCTATTGTCCCTGAAAATAGCTCAGGTAGCACAATGCTTTTAAAAAAATGGACAAGTTTTGGAACCTGTTTTATTTCATACTGTGGATTTCTTGGAATTCTTACAGTCAATGACTCTTTGGGCAAAAAAACTTCAAAATCACAATATTCTGCGCCAGTGACAAACATCTGATGTTGAACTTGTGTGTAGTATTTATGTGCAGGCTTCAAAAATATTTCATCAGCATTCTTTGACAAGCATGACTCTGGCTGCATGAGATAGTCTGCAATATTTAAATCACGGCTCTTCCATGGGCATTTTATTTCTAAAACACCGAATCCACAGCATTTGCAGCTTATAACTCCATCAGGGCTGGCTCCCAGGAAAGGCAACTGTTCAGAAATGAACAAACCAGTAGTTTTACTTGAAAAGTGTTTGTGCTTTGTTCTGTTCTTTCTGGTGTACCTTTTGAAGGCAAACTTTTCATTATTCTTCCCCCAGTTTAATGATGCACTATGAACAGAAGGATTATACATGCAAATTTTTGCACATAGATTTTGGGATGATGATAAATTTAAAATTTGATGGTTGTCATCAACTTTTACCAAAACTTCATGTGCAGAAGATGCTGTTATTACACCATGACGATACTGGAACCATTTTTCTGAGGATGCTTGATCAGCAGTGATTGCATTTATTCTTTTCAATTCAGCAGCAGACCGGTGTAATTTCAATGCTGCATGAAAACTATCAGCTTGACACTTAGAAGCAATCTCAGGCAATGTAGAAGGGGGCAGAACAGTTTGGGAAGAGGTTGTTGAGGAACTCTTCATTGTTGTTTTAACAAATTGGAGAACACTTGCTTTTCCATCAGTAGCCTCTGCAACAGCTTCCCAGTCAGCTTTGGTAAAGGCAACATTTAAATCTTGGATGGAACGGGGCTCATATTCACTTCTTGATGGGGTTTGAATGCAGTCATCATTTTCTGGATGATGATGCAAAATTTTAACAGAAGGCATTTGACTAGGCTCGTGGATTTTCTCATTCTTCTTGTATGTTCTTACACTCCATTGCTGTTTCTTGCCAGTACAAGACCTGTTGTTGCCAAGTCTAACTTCTGCAAGGATGTAATATAGCAAAGCAAACACATGCTTGCATGAGTTACTGTAACCAGCCACGCATCCACATTCACTAGCCAAAATGGAAGAGGCATCTGTCTGTAGACTAACCCAAACAGTATAAGGAGCATCAGATATACGTGTCTGAGGCACAACCAACGCTTTTATAAAGCAATATTTAATACAATCTGTAATTCTATTAAAAAACACTGACTTTACATGTCCAGATGTCTGAAGGTTCTGTCCTTCCTTGGAGGCTTTCAAGGATTCCATTGCTTCTGCATATTTTTTATAAAATCAAATGTAAGGTCAGGATAGTATTCACTTCCTTCGAGCCAGTGGGAGCCAATTGTCTCAGGAAAGGGTAACTGCACGCCATCAACGAATAAAATTTTGCTCCGGTTGAGGTCAATTTCAGATTCTCGAACAGCTTGAGAAGGCAATGTTGGAAGTTCGAGCTTTTCAGCAAAAATAACTTTTTCAATAAGCTGTGGTTTTCTGCAGTTCTTAGTATTCAAGGGCACACCTCTGTCTGACAGATACTTCTTAAGATCTTCTACCTTCCAAACTCGCAATTCTTCTTCAGTAAAAACCATTTTTAGAGAGGTATAATCGAAGAAACCGGTCACAGGACGGCAGTAAACACGCTATTTTCGTAGTAGTAAAAAAACTAAGGTTTGTTTGCCCCCTAGACATCCCAGATTGCATTGCGAAAAAAGATGGCGGCAACAACAGGAAAGAGGTCTATTACCAAACCATCCCGGTTCTCACAAATCGCAATTCATCGGAATTAGGACACGTGCTGAACATTTATGGCGCCGCGCATGTGAAATTATTTTTTGCCGGTAAGATTCAAGCAGAATCAAACAAAATGGTAGGTGCGTTGAATCATAGATTATTATTGCAAAGGAACCTGCTAGTGTTCATAGCTCTCTTAAGGAAGAAGATAAAACTGCTCAATCAACGGAAAACAAATAAAAAGAAGAGATTCTGGGTGAGAAATATTTTCCAGCAGCGTAAAACGTTTGGGCACTTTCATGCACTCATTTAAGAGCTGAGGATTCATGACAGGGAGTACTTCTTCAGGTAAATCAATGCAATCAAATTCACCAACAAGCTTTTGCCTTGTGGTTATCTTTGTAATATTTGAAACAATATAGTCTTAAATATCGTTTTTCACATTTGTTTTATTTAAAAATGATTCATATTTTTTTCATCAAACATTAAGATTCTTGAGGATGAGTCCTGAACGATTTGAGCATTTGTTACAACTTGTTGGACCCTACATGCAAATCAAGCAGTGCAGGAGCAGAGAACCAATATCCAATGCCGAAAGACTTGCTCTAACAATAAGATATCTTGCAAGTGGAGATTCTCAACAATCAGTATCATTTAATTTCCGGGTGAGCAGATCAAGTGTATGCAGTATTATAAGAGAAACTTGTCAGAGCATTTGGGATGCTGTTAGTGGTCCATATCTAAAACCACCAACCTCACAACAAGATTGGGAAAGAATTGCAGATGGGTTTTTCAATAAATGGAACTTCACAAATTGTTTAGGGGCTTTGGATGGCAAGCATATTGCCATAGAATGTCCTGGCTACAGTGGCTCTGAATATTATAACTATAAAGGGTTTTTCAGCATTGTTTTGATGGCAATGAGTGATGCTAAAAACTGTTTCACCTTTGTTAATGTTGGAAACTATGGGAAGGAAAATGATGCTCAAATTTTCAATAATTCTGATATTGGCAAGGCATTTAATGCTAATGAAATGAATATCCCAAGTCCAACAATTGTGGATGGACATGAACTTCAGTATGTGATATTGTCAGATGAAATTCTTGCACTTAAGCCATGGCTGCTGAAGCCTCTTCTTGGTAAGGGTCTTACCAACTCCCAAGCTGTTTTTAACTACAGGCTGAGCAGAGCACGCAGAACCATAGAGAACTACTTTGGAATACTTGCTGCAAGATGGCATATTTTCCGGAGACCAATTAGAGCATCGCCAGAAGTAGTCGATCAAATAACTGCATGTGCATGCTTACATAATTATTTAAGGCTTACTAACAATCCACAGTATCTACCATCCGGATTTACAGACACTGGAGTTGCATCAGGAAACATTGTTGCAGGTGACTGGAGGACAGAGGTTCATGCTGAATCTAGTGAATGAAGCCATATTAAGTGCTCAAACTTGGGATCTTTAGATACATCAGCTGCACCAGCTCCAGATGCCCCCTTCCTTTTATCAAATACTTGCTGAACTGCGTTCTGATGGATTCGTATCTTTTCTTCACAACATCAACGGGCTCATTCATGCCTTTGACTACAGCTTTCCAGCAATTTTGCTTCTTTGTTTTATCTTTGAAGTCTCGGGATGAACGATTGTAAATGGTCGGGTATTCCTGGATTATACCCATCAGTTCAAAATCGTTCTCCTGGTTTTCTTGCGCCATCTTGAATGAAAAGCCAAACTAAAACGTGACTCGAAGCACAGAATTCGAACTCCTTCATCAATACGAGACTATCAGTCAGTTTTTTATCGTATTTCACGGAATTCTGGTTTTCATATATTTCACTGATCGTAATTTGTCGGAATTCATCCCATTTCATCAGAAGAAACAAATTTTTTTGATTCCTTGGGATGAATTGCGACGAATTAGGATGAATTGCGATCAATTAGGACACGCTGTTTTCATACATTTTGGCTGGTTTTCATAAATCGAAAATGATCCTTATTGATCGTAGACCTTAAATTCCGACGAAATGCGATGAAATACGACATATGAAAACCAGCCTTTACAGAAGCACCACTACACTTACTTGAGAAATTTATGGTTGTCTGATGTCAGCAAGTAGGAGAATTTGCCTTATACATGCTATCATGGGAGTGAAAGATTTCGCGAGAATAAGAACAGGGAAGATAATACGTGGAAAACCTGGGGAGCTGATAGCAGGCGAGACTACATTAGGGTGGACACTCATGGGAACTCTTGGTGAGCAGCAAACAGACAAAACAAACATCATGTGTAGGGAAAAGTGGCCGCTGACCTCAGTTTTAGAGATGACCTTCCATCTTGCTTCTTATTTGCTTTATTTTCTATTTAGAGGGTTGCCTATTGAGGTGTTGATTTATTTTTTTTTTGTCTGGGGTGCTTTATTGTGTTGTTATGACCTTTGGTGAGTCAGAGTTACAGTTCAGATGTACGGATCACTCTGTGAAAAAAGAACAGATGAGCAGATCTACCGGGAATCCAGATGAACGAACGAACCTAGAAGTGAAATAAAAAAGATCGTACAAGAAGAGAAGAACTCAGGTGACAAGTAACCATTCATATATCTAAAGAACATTCAATTTGAAGAACTCTTGAACGGATAGAAGATCTTAATTGATATTTTTGATGTAGTATTAGGCCAAGGTTAAACGTCGCTCTTCTCATGCGCCGAACCTATTACTTGAATAAGGCACATGAAAACGGCTCTGGAGCAACTTCAAATTTAATGTTGCTCTTTTCATGCGCCGAACCCAATGTATTAATTAAAAATACTGTAAAGTAATTTGTTTTCCGCTTAAATGAGGCAGGGCATGCGCAGGAATGATTTTTCGTCACTTGGCGCCAATTACAAGGCAGGAATGATTTTTCGTCACTTGGCGCCAATTACAAGGCAGGAATAAAATGGCATCTTGTATTCCCAAAACCGACTTCTGTTCCAAGTGTACAAAAGAGACCAAATATGTTTGCATGAATTGCAGAATTCCTATTTGTAACGTGTGCAGTTATGCAGAAGAGAATGACGACAAGCCAGGATGGTCGTCCAAGAAAAGCGTGACAGTGGATATTGCGGCAAATGAAATACCGGACAAAAGGACCACGAAAATATCATCCAGGTTTGTGGTTTATGTGTAAATAATACACACTTGCTGACAATTTTGAATAAAGCAGTGTTAAAAAAAACATTTTGGAGAAAGCCAGAGATGTATCCAAGAATAATATGTCCAATAAAATTATTTTAAAGGAAACGTGGCTTCGGGTTTTGGAGTAATAAGAATATTCAAGCTCAGGGTCATCCAATTTTTGAGAAAATCGTAAGGATATTGCTTGGTTTTAGCTGACAAATCCATTTAAGAGTGTCATTTCTATCTGAAACCATACCAGATTTGAAATAACAAGCAATAATTTAAGAATATAATAAGGCCTAACAAGGATATTTCTTAAGAATATCAAGCCTGGACGTAATTGAAGGTATTCCTATACCAATAAATGAGTTTATATCAGTGCCACCAATAATAAAATTAGACTAACAGTATATACTGGCATCAAGAATTTTTTAATGATAATTTATCTTCTTTCACTTCAGGATAAATACCACAACCCTTCAATATGAAAGTCATGATGAGAGTCTGGCAAGTGGAGATGAAGATGCTGTTGTATCTTTAAGGAATTTTCTAAATACTCCAGTGATCCGTTTGCGTTCAAGTCGAGATCACAGTAAAAAAACATCGGAAAGCAGTGAACTCAATTTAATAATTTTCACATCCAACTTTTAGAAACTGAATAACATCAAGGCAAAACAAACGACGTTCTAAAACACCTTAGAAACATGAAACAAAGTATTCTAAAGGTTCATTGACGATAATTCAACAATAAGGTGACAAGTCCTTTTGTAATTCAACACACGATGCCGCAGTTCTTTTCTTGTTAAATCAGCAGCATCGCAGCGCAACTACACACAACACCTCCCCACCTAGCCTTGAAGTTCAAGGCGAAGGCGAGAAAATCTTCTTAGGCTTAGGGGCAAGTTTTGATCTTCGTGGGTTGTGAGGACCGTACTCTGGTGTAGCTGGCCTTCTTTCGGTGGCAGATCCTGGCAGTTCCACGGAAGTAGCAGCGCTAATCAGAGGTGGAGTTGCTCTCTCTGTAGACGGCGAAGGAGGAACTCCGGGATCATCATCTTCTACTGAAGCATAACGCGGCTGCAACTTCTCAAGGTGTCGTCTCCAAGTAGGGCCTTTTGGCTGTACTCGAACATTGAAAGATCGAGAGCCTTTGCGCTTGATGATTACAGCTGGCACCCAACGACCTTCTTTGTCTCTTCTAGGACCAAAGTAGAGGGCGTAGACAGGATCTTCGACTTTATAAGATGTTACTACTTTAGAGATAATCTCTTTCTGCTGGGATTTGGTAGCCTCTCTCGCTTGTTTTCCCTGGGCTGTATGCGCTGGAGACGGTAATAGAGTATCAATCTTGGTTCTAATTTGACGTGAATTCAGCAGTTCACTCGGAGAATACCCACTGGAGTTGGGAGTTCTGCGAAACTGCATGAGGAATTCTTGCCGGGCTTTTCTGGGAGGAAGACTTGACTTCTTGAGTGCCTGCTTGAAAGTTTGCACAAGTCGTTCAGCTGCTCCAAGTTCAGTCGCTCTTTACACCAAGTCTGGAATTCGACTGACATGAATGCAGAAGCGTTATCTGTTACTAAGGTGTGTGGGTAACCGAAATGCGCAAAGTCCTGCTCCAATAGGTCAACCGTAGCTTTGGCTGAAACAGACTGTGTTGGATGGATGCATGGGTATTTAGAATATGCATCTGTAAGCAGCAACCAGTTTGTACCCATGAAGTTGATCGCATGGTCAAGGTGTAATCTGCTCCAGGGTTTCTCTGGAAGCATCCATGGGTGAATTGCAGGTTTGGCTGGTCTGTTCTGATGCTGACCGCAAGGTATGCAGTGTCTGCATATGGCCTCAATATCCTCATCGATGTTTGGCCAATAGACAGCCGTGCGAGCCAGTTGCTTCATTCGCTGCATTCCAAAGTGTCCTAGGTGAAGAAGTCCTAGAACGTTTCTTCTCATGCTTGCTGGAATCACCACTCTCCACCCATGGACTAAACAACCATTACATATGGACAGTAAAGTAGCAACCTGTCGGAATCTGTGCATTTCCGTTCCTTCATCGTTCTTCTTTGGTTGCCAGCCTTCTCGAATGAATCTCATTACCATTGAGATTATTGGATCCTTTGCTGACTCTCTTGCAAGAGAACCTTGTTCTGCTGGAGTGACTTTCTCGTCGATTGTCTGTATCTGGCAGACCATTAATGTGTCATCTACACTTTCCTCCTCATCAAATTGTGAATCTTCCTGCAGAGATAGACGACTGAGAGCGTCAGCATTAGCGTGATCCTTAGTCTTCCTGAATTCAATCTTGTTGTTGAATTGGCTTAACATTAGAGCCCAACGAGCCAGTCGGTTAGCAGCCATTAGAGGACCATCTTTTCCTGGCCCAAATAAGGCTAACAGTGGTCGATGATCTGTGACCAGTACAAACTTCCGTCCAAATAGGTACTGGTAGAACTTCTTCAATCCAAACACAATTGCCAGTGCTTCTTTTTGGATTTGGCTATAGTTCCTTTGACTTTCTGTGAGAGTTTTGAAGACGTTGGCAATTGGGCGCTCGCTTCCATCTGGAAAACGATGAAATAATACGGCTCCAATTCCACTGTTTGAAGCATCGCATGCCAGACCTAGGGTGTGCTTCTCTTCAAAATGAACCAGGACATTCTTTGAAGAAAGCAAGTCTTTCAGACGTTGGAAAGACTTTTGGTGTTCTTGTTGCCATTTCCACTTGACCGTCTTCTTTGTCAGCTTGTACAAAGGCTCTGCTATTGTAGCCAGTTCTGATGGTAGGAATTTGGCATAGAACTAGACAGATCCTAAGAAAGCTTTAAGACTTGATACGTTTGTAGGAGCTGTCATTTTAAGAACAGCATCTACCTTAGGACCTTTTGCGATTCCTTGTTGTGACAGTAGATGTCCCAAATACTCAACATATGGCTGGGCAAAGTGATATTTTTCCTGTTGACAACGGAGACCTTTGTCTTGCAGTCTTTGGAGCAAACGCCGAAGATTGCTCAGGTGGTCCTCAGCATCAATCCCGCTTACAAGGATGTCATCCAGATAGGTAGCCACACCAGGAAGGTCTACGGTGAGCTGATCCATGATCTGTTGAAAGTATCGGGGGGCAGATTTGATACCAAATGGAAGTCTTTTCTGCAAAAGCACTCCCTTAAAGTGCTAAGTGCTAGTCTTCGCTGACTTTCCGGCGCAAGCTTGATTTGGTTATATGCATCTGCCAAGTCAATTTTGGTGAATCCATATCCTCCTCCTAATCTTCTCATAAGATCCTCGGGGAGAGGAAGCGGATGACGATGATCCTCCAGTTGATGGTTGACTGTGACAGAATAATCCCCACAGACTCTGATCTTGGGTTTCTTTTGTCCTGGGAGCACAGCCTTCTTGATAGGAACCACTGGAGTCCCAAATTGACAAAATTGTGTGGCTTCCCATACTCCTTTTGTTATACCCTTCTGATATTCTTCTTCCAAATCAGCTTCCATGGCAAATGGAACTGGCCGTGCTTTCCTGAAGATAGGCTGGACATTGGGCTTAAACTTTACTTCGAGTTCATAGTCCTTGAGGCATCCTAATTCCGGTTTCCATAAATCTTTAAATTCATTGCACAATTTCTTGCATTTCTCCTGTAGTTTGATGTCGGCCTTTAGATTGCTAAAGACTGCATGGCATGATTCGACATCGTTGAGTGCTTGGTCTACAGAAATGCCCAGCTCCTTAGTAGCAGTTCGTCCCAATAGGTTAAGTTCTGGGATTTCTGACACTGTATACTTGATATCACGTGTCTCCTCAGCCACCTGTGTTGACGTTTTGGCGACGAACGTACCAATGATTGGTAAACTATGTTTACTTGCTGATTCATAGTGTAAATCAGGCTTCTGAAGATTTGGACTTCCCAAATCCTACCATGTCTGCTTTGAAATGAAGTTCCCATTCGTTGCAGTATCCAGTTCCATTGTGCATGTTTGCCCTTGGATCTTGATAGGTACTTCCAGCTTTGGCAAGGATCTTTCATTCACAGCGGTAACAAGCTGATTTGCCTGTCTTGGACTTGGTTTCCATTGCTTTGTTAGAGGGCCGTAGAGCGACCTTGTGTACAGATTTTGGCCTAGCCCCATAAACCGTTTCTTTAGCCATTTTAGCTGCATCCTGTTTCTGTGGCAATTTCAATAGCCCTAGCAAAATCCAGTTCGTCGTCCTTGACCTTAAAGAGGGCTTTTAGCACTGCCTCATTGTTTACAGAACAAATAAAACGAGATCTGAGTGCTTCATCCTGAGGATCCTTGATGGATGCAAAACCACAGGTAGCAGCATCTTGGCGAATACGTGCCACAAGCTCCTGTAGCGTTTCACCTGGCTTTCTGTGCATATCACTCCAAAACTTGAAGGGTTCGTGTACAACAAATCGTTTGGGGTCATATTGCGTCTTCATGAAATTTACAATTTCATCCATGCTAAGATCATTAATTTGCTTGGGTGGATTCTGCTGTTTTGCCAAATTTCCCAGTAACCGGTAAACATCCTTAGATTGATTAATTAGGAAAATTTGAGCCTTTCTATCGTCATCAACATTATGTGCACCAAAAAATGTCAAAAATCTATCGTAGTAGTCTGGCCACAATTCACTTGTAGAATCAAATGGTTCGAAAACAGGTACTGAAGGTAATGTAGAAGTAAAACGTGCAGTTCCTGATTCTAAAAAAAACATTGTATGGAGAAGAGCCTTCATTTGTTCTTGATGAGCTGCCGCTTGAGCTTCCATATGTTTTTGCTGATTTGCAATTTGCAATTGCATTAATTCGATTAATTTTGCAGTTTCAGACATGTTGATAATAGCTTAGCTTAAAATCGAACGTGAACGTAAAATCTAATACCGTGCTTACCGGATTATTGAAGCTGTATAAAAAAAAGTGGAATACGACCTGTTGATTTTCTTAGGTGAGTTATTCGTAAAATGATGATAGCATCCTGTCGACTGCGCCAATTAACTCCTGTTGTATCTTTGAGGAATTTTCTAAATACTCCAGTGATCCGTTTGCGTTCAAGTCGAGATCACAGTAAAAAAACATCGGAAAGCAGTGAACTCAATTTAATGATATTCACATCCAACTTTTTAAAAACTGAATAACATCAAGGCAGAACAAACAACGTTCTAAAACACCTTAGAAACATGAAACAAAGTATTCTAAAGGTTCATTGACGATAATTCAACAATAAGGTGACAAGTCCTTTTGTAATTCAACACACGATGCCGCAGTTCTTTTCTTGTTAAATCAGCAGCATCGCAGCGCAACTACACACAACACCTCCCCATCTAGCCTTGAAGTTCAAGGCGAAGGCAAGAACATCTTCTTAGGCTTAGGGGCCCTGTTTTGATCTTCGTGGGTTGTGAGGACCCTACTCTGGTGTAGCTGGCCTTCTTTCGGTGGCAGATCCTGGCAGTTCAACGGAAGTAGCAGCGCTAGTCAGAGGTGGAGTTGCTCTCTCTGTAGACGGCGAAGGAGGAACTCCGGGATCATCATCTTCTACTGAAGCATAACGCGGCTGCAACTTCTCAAGGTGTCGTCTCCAAGTAGGGCCTTTTGGCTGTACTCGAACATTGAAAGATCGAGAGCCTTTGCGCTTGATGATTACAGCTGGCACCCATCGACCTTCTTTGTCTCTTCTAGGACCAAAGTAGAGGGCGTAGACAGGATCTTCGACTTTATAAGATGTTACTACTTTAGAGATAATCTCTTTCTGCTGGGATTTGGTAGCCTCTCTCGCTTGTTTTCCCTGGGCTGTATGCGCTGGAGATGGTAATAGAGTATCAATCTTGGTTCTAATTTGACGTGAATTCAGCAGTTCACTCAGAGAATACCCACTGGAGTTGGGAGTTCTGCGAAGCTGCATGAGGAATTCTTGCCGGGCTTTTCTGGGAGGAAGACTTGACTTCTTGAGTGCCTGCTTGAAAGTTTGCACCAGTCGTTCAGCTGCTCCATTAGTGGCAGGATGGTATGGAGCTCCGGTGAGATGGACAATGCCTCGCTCTTTACACCAAGTCTGGAATTCGACTGACATGAATGCAGAAGCGTTATCTGTTACTAAGGTGTGTGGGAAACCGAAATGCGCAAAGTCCTGCTCCAATAGGTCAACCGTAGCTTTGGCTGAAACGGACTGTGTTGGATGGATGCATGGGTACTTAGAATATGCATCTGTAAGCAGCAACCAGTTTGTACCCATGAAGTTGATCGCATGGTCAAGGTGTAATCTGCTCCAGGGTTTCTCTGGAAGCATCCATGGGTGAATTGCAGGTTTGGCTGGTCTGTTCTGATGCTGACCGCAAGGTATGCAGTGTCTGCATGTGGCCTCAATATCCTCATCGATGTTTGGCCAATAGACAGCCGTGCGAGCCAGTTGCTTCATTCGCTGCATTCCAAAGTGTCCTAGGTGAAGAAGTCCCAGAACGTTTCTTCTCATGCTTGCTGGAATCACCACTCTCGACCCATGGACTAAACAACCATTACATATGGACAGTAAAGTAGCAACCTGTCGGAATCTGTGCATTTCCGTTCCTTCATTGTTCTTCTTTGGTTGCCAGCCTTCTCGAATGAATCTCATTACCATTGAGATTCTTGGATCCTTTGCTGACTCTCTTGCAAGAGAACCTTGTTCTGCTGGAGTGACTTTCTCGTCGATTGTCTGTATCTGGCAGACCATTAATGTGTCATCTACACTTTCCTCCTCATCAAATTGTGAATCTTCCTGCAGAGATAGACGACTGAGAGCGTCAGCATTAGCGTGATCCTTAGTCTTCCTGAATTCAATCTTGTTGTTGAATTGGCTTAACATTAGAGCCCAACGAGCCAGTCGGTTAGCAGCCATTAGAGGACCATCTTTTCCTGGCCCAAATAAGGCTAACAGTGGTCGATGATCTGTGACCAGTACAAACTTCCGTCCAAATAGGTACTGGTAGAACTTCTTCAATCCAAACACAATTGCCAGTGCTTCTTTTTGGATTTGGCTATAGTTCCTTTGACTTTCTGTGAGAGTTTTGAAGACGTTGGCAATTGGGCGCTCGCTTCCATCTGGAAAACGATGAAATAATACGGCTCCAATTCCACTGTTTGAAGCATCGCATGCCAGACCTAGGGTGTGCTTCTCTTCAAAATGAACCAGGACATTCTTTGAAGAAAGCAAGTCTTTCAGACGTTGGAAAGACTTTTGGTGTTCTTGTTGCCATTTCCACTTGACCGTCTTCTTTGTCAGCTTGTACAAAGGCTCTGCTATTGTAGCCAGTTCTGATGGTAGGAATTTGGCATAGAACTAGGCAGATCCTAAGAAAGCTTTAAGACTTGATACGTTTGTAGGAGCTGTCATTTTAAGAACAGCATCTACCTTAGGACCTTTTGCGATTCCTTGTTGTGACAGTAGATGTCCCAAATACTCAACATATGGCTGGGCAAAGTGACATTTTTCCTGTCGACAACGGAGACCTTTGTCTTGCAGTCTTTGGAGCAAACGCCGAAGATTGCTCAGGTGGTTCTCAGCATCAATCCCGCTTACAAGGATGTCATCCAGATAGGTAGCCACACCAGGAAAGTCTACGGTGAGCTGATCCATGATTTGTTGAAAGTATCCGGGGGCAGATTTGATACCAAATGGAAGTCTTTTCTGCAAAAGCACTCCCTTATGAGTGCTAAGTGCTAGTCTTCGCTGACTTTCCGGTGCAAGCTTGATTTGGTTATATGCATCTGCCAAGTCAATTTTGGTGAATCCATATCCTCCTCCTAATCTTCTCATAAGATCCTCGGGGAGAGGAAGCGGATGACGATGATCCTCCAGTTGATGGTTGACTGTGACAGAATAATCCCCACAGACTCTGATCTTGGGTTTCTTTTGTCCTGGGAGCACAGCCTTCTTGATAGGAACCACTGGAGTCCCAAATTGACAAAATTGTGAGGCTTCCCATACTCCTTTTGTTATACCCTTCTGGTATTCTTCTTCTAAATCAGCTTCCATGGCAAATGGAACTGGCCGTGCTTTCCTGAAGATAGACTGGACATTGGGCTTAAACTTTACTTCGAGTTCATAGTCCTTGAGGCATCCTAATTCCGGTTTCCATAAATCTTTAAATTCATTGCACAATTTCTTGCATTTCTCCTGTAGTTTGATGTCGGCCTTTAGATTGCTAAAGACTGCATGGCATGATTCGACATCGTTGAGTGCTTGGTCTACAGAAATGCCCAGCTCCTTAGTAGCAGTTCGAGCTGATTCATAGTGTAAATCAGGCTTCTGAAGATTTGGACTTCCCAAATCCTTCCATGTCTGCTTTGAAATGAAGTTCCCATTCGTTGCAGTATCCAGTTCCATTGTGCATGTTTGCCCTTGGATCTTGATAGGTACTTCCAGCTTTGGCAAGGATCTTTCATTCACAGCGGTAACAAGCTGATTTGCTTGTCTTGGACTTGGTTTCCATTGCTTTGTTAGAGGGCCGTAGAGCGACCTTGTGTACAGATTTTGGCCTAGCCCCATAAACCGTGTCTTTAGCCACTTTAGCTGCATCCTCTGTTTCTGTGGCAATTTCAATAGCCCTAGCAAAATCCAGTTCGTCGTCCTTGACCTTAAAGAGGGCTTTTAGCACTGCCTCATTGTTTACAGAACAAATAAAACGAGATCTGAGTGCTTCATCCTGAGGATCCTTGATGGATGCAAAACCACAGGTAGTAGCATCTTGGCGAATACGTGCCACAAGCTCCTGTAGCGTTTCACCTGGCTTTCTGCGCATATCACTCCAAAACTTGAAGCGTTCATGTACAACAAATCGTTTGGGGTCATATTGCGTCTTCATGAAATTTACAATTTCATCCATGCTAAGATCATTAATTTGCTTGGGTGAATTCTGCTGTTTTGCCAAATTTCCCAGTAACCGGTAAACATCCTTAGATTGATTAATTAGGAAAATTTGAGCCTTTCTATCGTCATCAACATTATGTGCACCAAAAAATGTCAAAAATCTATCGTAGTAGTCTGGCCACAATTCACTTGTAGAATCAAATGGTTCGAAAACAGGTACTGAAGGTAATGTAGAAGTAAAACGTGCAGTTTCTGATTCTGAAAAAGACATTGTATGGAGAAGAGCCTTCATTTGTTCTTGATGAGCTGCCGCTTGAGCTTCCATTTGTTTTTGCTGATTTGCAATTTGCAATTGCATTAATTCGATTAATTTTGCAGTTTCAGACATGATAATAGCTTCGCTTAAAATCGAACGTGAATAAAATCTAATACCGTGCTTACCGGATTATTGAAGCTGTATAAAAAAAGTGGAATACGACCTGTTGATTTTCTTAGGTGAGTTGTTTGTAAAATGATGATAGCATCCTGTCGACTGCGCCAATTAACTCCTGTTGTATCTTTGAGGAATTTTCTAAATACTCCAGTGATCCGTTTGCGTTCAAGTCGAGATCACAGTAAAAAAACATCGGAAAGCAGTGAACTCAATTTAATGATATTCACATCCAACTTTTTAAAAACTGAATAACATTAAGGCAAAACAAACAACGTTCTAAAACACCTTAGAAACATGAAACAAAGTATTCTAAAGGTTCATTGACGATAATTCAACAATAAGGTGACAAGTCCTTTTGTAATTCAACACACGATGCCGCAGTTCTTTTCTTGTTAAATCAGCAGCATCGCAGCGCAACTACACACAACAGATGCAATGCTTAATATCTTCAAAGGCAAGAAAAGCAAAGAGAAGAAGAAGCCAGGTAGAAAGGCACAATGGCAAGAAAGTCTGTTGAATGATCTGATAGACATTATTGCAAATGATGATTACTTTAAGAAAAAACTCATTTTTACAAACACAAGAAATCAAAAGAATGGGGAAATATACCAAAAAGCCCTAACAGAGTTAAAAAGCCGTTCATCGATACTAAATGAAGAATGCCCTTACACAGCTATACAACTAAGGACAAAATTCAAGAAGTCTGTGGCTGAATGCAAAAAGGCAGCCTCGTTGATAAAGACTGGAAGTGGAATTAAACGCTTCCAGAATGATCATGGGTATGGCACTTGGTTCAACCAATTGTTTGCTTTAGTAAAGACAAGAGAATCAAGCAATGGAACCCCCTGCCATTGCTCAATCTGATGAGCAATCACCTATACCTTCTGGTGCATCACCAGCTACATCATCAGACTCACAAGAGTTATTTGTGCCGGTGCCAGTCAAAAAAAGAAAAACAAGAAAGGAAGGCCAATTACATGATCTGATGGAAATGATGAATGAACTTGTTGAAAAAGATCCAATGAGTGATTTTTTGGCCTTTGCTAGAGAAGAAGCAGAGAAAACCAGACAGCACGAACTGAAACTTGTCCAACTTTCGATCAAGACACAAAACCCACCACAGCAAGCTAACTATGCTAACATTCAGGGTCAACAACTTATGGACAACTTTTCTTCCTATTATCAATTTTAAAGTTAACATAGTAAATCATTAGACATATACAAATAATGATCATTTCTGAACATTAACAAGAATAACATAATTAGAAATACTTCAAAGCCTTTAGTGATTCTATTTCATAATAAAGTTTCAACAAAATTTATAAAAGTTTGGAATATACAGTACAGGTTTGGCAAGACATACATTTTTGCTATCAAGCCCCTTATGTACAGTTGCATCTACAGTCGACTCTCGTTATTACGGACACCATCAGGACCAAAATGTTGCGTCCACAATAACGAGAGTCCATAATAGCGGGATGAGAAAAAAATCACTAGTTTATTGGTTGAAAAATTATTTAATCAATAATTTTTTAATCAATAGCAATCGTGTAATTTTGTTAACAGAGATTTGTAGTGCTGGAGTTTATAAATTTTGTATCATTTTGTAGTTTGTAGTTTTATTGTTGTAAAAAGTACTCTTCAAGTGTCGTCTGGTGTGATTGCTTTTTCAGTGCATGTGCTGCAACTTTACTACTGAGGCATGCGAATTCACTTGCTATCGTCGCAAGACCACGCTGGATGAGAAAAACTTCTATGTCTCTCACCGACCTTGCAACATCGTGATAGCTCTTCAAGCTGGTGGTCGGAGTGACTTCATGTATATCATTATCATCATTATCATCGTCATCATCATCATCATCATTATCATCTGATATAACCACTTCCACTTGCCCATTTATCATTAAAGAATCTAGCAGTTCCTTTTCATTAACCATGCAGTAGCATATAGGCAGCTCGGTATCTGATAGCAGGTATGTATATGGAGTGATGGTGGTTTCGGGTGAAACTTCTTTAATTAGATTTTCGGGATCTTCATCGATGTCATCAAGGTCACTGAAGGGATCTGCCTCCTCGTCTTCTATCAGTGTATTGCTGGAAATTCCCCCAGAATTGAAACACTTACTGGTTGTCACTTTAACATTATGCCATGCTTCCCCCATCCAATTCATTGCCTGTAATACGTTGAGTGATTTGCTGATCTCTGAGACGTTCCTTTCACTTGAGGCCATTGCGATGATGAAGCGTAGCAAAAGCTTTCTATAATGAACTTTGAAGTTTTGAATAATGCCGAGATCAAGAGGTTGCAACTCAGATGTGCAATTTACAGGAAAAAACACGAGCTTGACGTTCGAGTAGCGTCCCTTCAAATCATACGGATGGCAACCAGCTCTTTCCAAGACTTCATTGTATCCACTGCAACATCAGCAGATTCTCCGCAAACTTTGTGTTGTGAAAGATTGTGTCGTTCTTTGAATCTTGTCAATCAACCACTCGAGGCTTTGAAATCAATGTAACCTAGCTTTTCGGCAACTTGAGATGCAAATTCCTGGATCATTGGACCATCAACTAGAATTAGTTGATCATTCTTGTTTTTATACCATTCCCAGACAGCATCGTTTAAATCTGAAAACTGAGAAGTACAGTTTCGTTTCTTTCCTTGAGGAAGTCCTTTTTCATATTGTTCTCTTACTGATACCTTGCTTTTTATGATGTTACTTATTTGCGTCTTTCCACACATGTATTTCTCGGCTAATTTTCTTATTCCTAAAGAACCATTAGTACTTCAACGAGAACCAGAAAATGGTAGAGACAGAAATGCTGTGGCAATTATTGAAGAAAATGGGCGAATTCTTGGGCACATCCACTTTGAATTATCTCAAATTGTTTCTTCTTTTTTGAAACGAGAAAACAACAGTGGGGTTGCAGTTATTTGTGGCAAGCGAGTAAACAGAGAGGCTGGATTGGGACTGGAGATTCCAGTTATGTTTAAATTTTATGGGAAAGCTAAAATTCCGCGGAAATAGATTGTACAATGGATGCTTAAGATCGACACCTAATTAACAATATTCTTAATTAACACTTAATCTGACAGTTATATTCAGCATGTGTCCGTTCTATCGAGAGTTGAATATTTTAAATGTTCAAATGGGACCACACGTAGTGTCCGCATTTCTGTAATAGCGAGAGTCCGTTATAGCGAGAATTACGTTCAGTCATTTCTTTGTATTTCAGTCGGGGATTTTTTTGTGTCCGTAATAGGGGGGTGTCCGTTATATCGGGGTGTCCGTAAGGCGAGAGTTGACTGTACCTGGTTTGGGTTCGGCACATGAGAAGAGCGACGTTTAACCTAGGCCTTAGTGTAACTGGTTGATCTGTCCTTTTCTATATCTTTATACAGTCCTCTTACGATTAATGATTATATTGGAATCTATTTGAATCTTTGGAAAGTATCGACCCTTTCAGGTATTCTATTCTGCTAGCTAGGTGGGCGTTTCTAGTCACCTTGCCCGAATTTTGAATCTTATGCAGAAAATAATCTATATCAGGCACATAGTCATTCAGAATCCAGGATCCATTGAAAAAGAGCGCAAGCAGTTATGGGAACTTCATGTTCTGGGGGTTGAAGACGGGAGCAAAAACATCTATGAAAAAGTTGCCAACAACATCAGCCAGAATGAAGAAGGAAGACACACAGTAAGACTGCCTTGGAAGAAAGGGAATTACTTTCTGCCAGAAAACAGGCAGCTCTGTGAAACAAAACTGTGAAATCAGCATCAGAAGCTCAAACGAATGCCAGACATTCTTGAGAAGTATGACGAAATTGTAAAGACGCAGATTGCAGATGGAATTGTCGAGCCTGTACAGCAGAAGCCAGATGGTGAGTGTCTGAGTCACATGCCACATCACCCATTCATCTGAAAGGATGCAGAAAATACTTCGTTTTGTTTTCGGACAATTGAAGCTATTGGATGCACGGATTTTGTAAGTAATTAATGAATTATTTTAAACTATTGGACATATATCGAACTATACGAATGAGGGTTAGCATTATCCTTTGTCGCTGTATCGTTTTGTATACCAA